AGAACTCCACCAATACAGGTTTTACCAAGCCTAGTATCAAGCTAAACCGTATCTATACACAAGATATTTCATAAGTCTGGTCCTTAGTTACTAATATGATCATTTCATAAAATCCACGTGACACTCAAAAGCACAATGGGGTCACTTTCCAATGATTTGTTGTTTTCTCTTCGACAAATTTATGGTGAATAAATCTGATTCAAAAGGCACTGAAATAGATTAATATTTCATTATGAGAAATGTCCACAAAAAGCCTTCTTACTTCACATTTCCACTAATGACATTACTGCTAAATTATCATAATCCTAATACCTGAACTTTTGGAAAAACCACTATCTTTTCAAATGACATAAACGAAATCTGGGTGAAAGACCACGCTGCAGTACTCTTACTGTTTTCATTTCAGTAGTCTATACAGTACTGTGAAGCTCCTGTTCTTGTTAATTTATTTTTTTTTATTGCTGTACCGTGGCAGCTAAAAAGGAATTGTGCTATTTAAAGGCTATCTGATTTGGATGTAAAAAACCAATGCTCGTTAATCAAATTAAATTTAACATTTTAATTTGACATTAATAATTACACTGAGAGGAAATGTTCTTTAAGGATAGTAACATGGGCTATTCTAGAAGAATTCAGTAGTTCAGAGATGACATTGGTGCCTGCTGTACATTTTAAAATTCTAAAAAAACACATGACCTAACATATCCAGAATTTTACTTTAACAGAAATAGTGCCCACTGCAGCTTTTTCTTTGTTTTCGTATACTGTTGTATCACAAAAACACCTCACAGAGAAAACATAGGCCAACAATTGATGATCTTTTTAAAAGTAAAACAAAGCAATAATAAAAAATTAAATACCAGTGTAACTTGTGTTTGTAGAATATACTAGTGGGTTTGTGATGGGTGGTTACTAAGATTTAGAATATTAATATTTACAGAAAGGATTAAAAGAAAAAAATGCTGGATTTTTTTCTTAATCTTCTGTAGTAAAGGTTGTGCAACCTAAGGTAGTTCATAATATTACTTACGTGAAAGCTGCTTGATGTCTTTGCTGAGAAATAGTGGCAAGCTGAAGTTTGGCCTCAATAAGAGCCTCTAAATCTTCAACAGAACACTGAGATATCTCCCCCTCATATTTGTCCTGTATGTTCTGCACAAGGTGACAAAGACTCCCTTCAGCTTCTGTCAATAAAATCCCCTAGAGAGGAACACAGCACTGTATGATTTTTAAAAGTAATGAAATAAATAAATAAAATCTTTAAAAGTCTTTTATTCTGCTATAGCCTACCATCACTGCAAACTAAAACAAATCAACTTGAATACAATATACCTTCTCTATAAATAGTAGAAGGGGTGTTAATTTTGTTTTTTTCAGGTTTACAGAGTCAATGTATTATTAAAAACTATGCTTAACTAAATATTTTAAGGTTTTACAATATTACTTATCTTTCTTATAGCTATGCTTGATAGTTTTATACTATACTTCTTACTATGTTTAGTAATCTTAAACAATGAAATTCAATATTAAAATACAACATTAAAGATGTTGCAAGAAGTATTACATTCTTTTCTCTATATACTTTGGCAGCTTCTTGAGTGTAATATGTATCCTGAAAATTCAACCGTCATTTACAGACTTTCTCATAAACAGAGCTGTAAGAAGCTGTGAAATCCAAATCTGAAAGTTAATTTTAAATAAAATCTCAATCACAGAGCTTTCAGCAGAATTCACAAAATAATTCAAAGGTTTGTATCATCCAATATCTCTTTTTGACCAGTTCCCTCAATTAATTCAGAGCCTCACTTAAGGAAAAAAAAAAAAGAATAGAACAATTAAATAAAAATCAGAAAGGTAAAAAATATATTATGTGACTTAAATAAGCCCCACTCAAATTAACGTAACCATTTTATTTGTTTTCAAGATGGTATTTTCAAGTTATTTTCAAGCCATGCTAAAACTATCAAGTTTCTAGTGTACAACATATACCAGTCTCCAGATATCTCCATGTCTCCAGATATATATTTTGTACATCACTTTGTTTGTAACAATGGCCAAAAATAGATACTTCCAAAGTCAAAGACCCCTCTGAAAGAATATGTCAGCCCTTAATTTTTGTCTTTTTTTGTGATGTGAAACTGTCAAGCATGAACTTTACAATTAAACAAAACCAAAACCAACCAACCAAACTTCCTTCAAACAAAGAAGCTAATAAATTGTGGCATGTTTTCTCCAAAATAGAGCATCAGAAAAAGGAACATGGAAAGTCTGAGACATTTCACACACAGGAGAGAATGGTTTTCCATTTATTTGTAGAGCATACTGTCTCATCAAAGAGTCGCTGGCATGTTCCACAGGCACTGCCCTCTGAAAGGTGATGATTTTATTCTTGAAATCCCATTCAGTCTTTACCCTTGTTGCCAAAACAGACATACTGAAATCTGACTGTATTTCCCATGCAGACTCTTTGAAAAACTGCACCAAACCACCCAGACTTCATGCATGGCTGGTAAAATGACAAAAAGACTAGAAATAGATATTTCTAGTCCCCTTATTCATGCAACCCTTCCCTCACTATTTCTGTTACGTTGAAAACATTAGCATTGTGTTTTGAATTATCTGCAGTTTCTTAAGCCTTTTTTGTAAACCCCAAAATTACCTTCAGCGTAGCCATATTTAATTCATCTTTACAGTCAACGAGCTGCACCATTGTGCTTCTTGGTTCCTGTTGTCTTGGAATTTTATCAGCATCAACTGTCGAATACATTACAGATGAAATTTAAGAGGTTAACAGTTCTTTTCCAACCTAAACGATTCTATGATTCTATGATAACAGATGCAGAACTAAAGCATTCTCAGTAATTTGAAGAATATGCCCCTTCTTTCCTCTGTTTATAATTGGGCTTTTGATTTTAAAATAACTGAGGAAGGATGGAATACAGCTCTAATAATATTAGAGATACTAGCTTAAAAAATCCTTGAAAAATCTTATTGCTTATTATTTAAATAATTACTGATTTTTCCTGCAACATTTAATATGAATATTGTTTATAATATGACAAGTTAATGCATGTGCAGTTAAAAGTGGAAAAACTACTATTGAGACAAGTTGCAGAATAAATGCCCTTTTCCACTACCCTTATAATTACCTTTTGTACTTGGTGTTTTAATTCTGCTTGACTTCTTCAGGCTGTTGTTATCAACAGAATAGACATGGTTTGCCACATTTTCAGGTATATTATTTATTGTGGCAGAAAGGCAAATGATGAAATGCATTTTGGCTAGGGTTAATTTATTCATAATTTGTTGGTTGCACAGTGGCACCGCTGTTAAAGACAGGCTCCAATTAAATATGTCTTCCAGTACCTACAAGAAATTCAACAATTGGGACAATTTGAAATGACATATTTTACATTTTTCTTGTTCAAAGTATATTCTGCTTCCATTAATAATGGCGTTTATCAACAGTTAACATGAATAATATTAGCCAAATGCTCTTAGTCATCACAAATGAGTTGACATTTTTGTTTCCAAACTTAATTCACCCTTTAGTAGTATTTGCTACAGCCTTAGTTATCAGTTTTCCAGTAGAGGAATCTATGAAGTTGTAGCTATTACTCTTGTATCAGACCATTACATCTTGTAGCTATTACATCTTGTATCAGACCATTCTAGCGTATTTCATAGAATCTGTTGTTATTCATTATAGCAACCTTGTTTTATCTTGAGTTTAATATTCTCATTTTAGATTAATAGATTTTGAGGCTGAAATGCTACATAGCTTTGCAAAGTCATAAGGAGAAGAAGAGTCCCATATAGACTATAAAGTGTTCATATCAAAAGCTCAGGATAAAGCACAACTTCAAAATAAATCCGGAACTACTGAGATCAAAAGCTGTCAAGACAGACATCTCATTTCTATCTTCTAATATCGACTGCTGTATGAGACACAAGCTTACTGTAAACAAAGAGAAAAGTGGAGAGGAAAAAAGTGGATTTTTTTCTATTTTATAAATTTGTTTTTATGGTGCAGCTTCTCTTACACATTCTGGTAACATTTACCCCTACTGTCTTAATGGATCTGTGACAAGACAAATTAAAGAAAATTAATAAAACTAAAAAACAGAAAGGAAGTCATCAACAAACACGTTATTTTAATTAAAATGAGAAATGACTGTTCATTAACTAGTTTACAAGTTCATTTTTTTTCTTTTTTTTTTTCCCCCTCCAGAAATGGAATTCAACCCCAATCTGAATTAGTACAAATCTATGAAGACAGCTCTGACTGACAGAAATTACAAATCCAGATGACCATTGTTCTCAGTATTTTAGCAGGATAAACACCAGACTCTACATATCATGACAAAAGCTGACTAATTCCACTAGTATGCTTTGCATAGACAAGTCACAGGTTCATACATATTAGGTCTCCCATCTGAAAAATGGTAATAATGGTACTTGCCTCTCCTTTGAGAAGTCAGCCTTAAAAATTCTAGTTTAGGAAATGGTAAACTGTTGAGAATATGTTTTCTATTTACTGAGTTTTATTAATAACAAGTACATTTTCTGAATGAAATAATCTCTAACTGATGCCAGAGAAATAAGTATTTATGTCTAACATAATTTTTTTAAAACATTCAGATTTTTTTTACCTGTAAATTTGTAACAGTCAGGAGAGATTTGGAGGAGTCAAATTTCTGTAAGACCTGGAAAATAGACAAAGCCAAAAAGTAACATGTTACAATATGAGCATAAAATAGGTGAGTTAGCAGAGCAGTGGACAAATGTGGAGCATTTCCAACTATGCTGTGAGGGCTCTGAAAATTACTTGGCAAAAAAATTACAAAACTGAGACCCTAAACTGTCCCTACATCTCCTATGCCATTCATCAGGATTCTTCAACTTGAAGCAAGGGGAGAAAAAGGCTTAAACCAACATAAATCCTCTTCCAAATTCTAGGAGCTCTATAGACACCAGCCATCGACTGCCCATATGTTCTTTACATTTCTGAATCCCAAACCCAATTCAAGACTTAGCACATGCCTTTTCTGCTATCCACCAGATCTCTGAATGGAATGAAAACAAGACCTACAAGTCAAGATTAACTTGAGACCTCAGCCTCCTTGAGGGTTCTTAAAACACCTATTTCTTCACTCATATGTGCTTCCATTTTCTGAACCCTAACCCTAACTCTAGTTGTTGCTTAAACACCTTTTGCCTTTTCACCAGGAGATAAAGCAAGCTACTGAGAGGAAGAAAAAGGCAGAAGTAAATATAATTTTCAGCCTTCATCATAACTGAAAGCTCTACACACAACTGTCACTCAGGTTCTATGTGGGTTTTATTAATTCTTTTATTAACTTTATACTCCAGATGTAGCCCTCTATCACCTCTGTCATTGCCTGGAACATGTGTCTGTCTTATTCTGAGAGCTGTGCAGAAGTCCAGCAAGCACTTAACTTCTGTATGTGTTGCACCCTAACCAGAGATCTAATGCTGGACCTTCTATGCTGTTCACCCAAACAGGCACCTGTGAAACCACACTTTTAGAAAAAGACAAATCAAGCAGACCTCATCCTAACTCTGTGAGTTGTTTAGACAATATATAAATTAAGGAATGGACTTAAAGATGCATTTTAATGTCACTAGCATCACTAAGGAGTAAAAGCATTCTACTGTAGCCATGAACAGGGAAGCTGCAGAATCAGCTCTTGTGAAGATGCTGACATCTCTTTATGGCTCAACCTAGTAAGACTATAATGTAGTTCGTGCTCTAAAAAAAATCACTAGATTTCAGTTTCTTTTCTTTCCATGCAGTTAGTACGGAACTGTCATTGGCAAATTAAAAAGGCTACATTTTGACAGTTTAATTTCATTTTTTATTAAGCTCATGTTTCATTTAAAACCTAGTACCACTGCAGGTTATCCTAGGAGGAGTGTTTGTCCGTATTTCTGGGTTTTTTTAAATGTAAACATCTGATATCCTATCATAAAGGTAACTGTAATTATTCCCTTATTAATTACCTTAGACATTGATTTGTGGCTGTTGCTAAAAAAAGATACTGTTGCTCTGTGTTTGTTATAGCCATTGTGAGGCTGCAATATAAGGACAGCCAGGCCATGAGTTGGCTGGAACTTCCCTCTCAAGGTTTAGTGAGATGGGAGAGGGAAAATTCCCTTTAAATGAGCTCAATAAACTCAATTTGCTCTGCAGTGCCAGCTTCATTGTCTATAGCACAGTGTAAGGGAAGGAAATGTGAAGTCATGGAGGTGGGTTAGGAATTTCCCTTTCAGCATCAGCCTGCAATTATCACCTGATTAGAAATATCAACCTGTTGCATGTAGAGAATGTGGCTGCATAATCAAGTTAAATCCACGCTGCTGGCAAAAGGGGTGTCCCCACCTGTCCCTCTAGCCTTCTACCACATGTTCAGTCAAGCACGCATACCAGCACACATTCTTTGTCGTGGGGTTACACCTATCCAAAAGCAGCACTCAGATAAGGAAGACCTTGATTACATTCACCTAGCAATAATTAACTAGGTTGTTTTGGTATATACTCAGAAAACAAGGAAAGGATACATAATTGTTATGGGGGAGGCTAGCCCGATAGCTCTGGACTCTATCTGCCTGCACAGGTATGCTCGCAGGTAAGACGGGTCAATTGTTAAAAGCTTCATAACCTTGTAGTACATTAGTGATCAAGGTAAGAGCACTATTTGCCTTTAATATATGAAGAAAATCAAAGAGAGTGACTGAGTGTCACATGACTGTCCAAGCTCTGAGAGCACCAATAGCTCTTACTGCCCCAGCATCACCTGGGGTTCCCTCCTAGGACCCCATTTCAGCCCATACCCCAGCAGGGCCGGTCCCCAGGTCCCTAGAGCCCTACACTCTCACAGGCCCCCTGAGCCGGACGCACCCCTGGGCCCAGACCCCACGACCCTGCGCAGCCATCCTGGGGCTGTGTCTGAACCCAGTTCTCCTCATCAGGCCTGATCCTCACACCCACTGCAGGTCTATTGCCCAGCCCAGCCTCAGCATGTCCCCAGCCCCACAGAGGTGCCCGATGCCCAGGGCTGGGGGTTGCCCCGGCTGCCTCTCAGCTGCCCTGCTCCTGGCTGGGGCGATGGGGATTTTGCCATTAATGGGACAAGAGCTCTATCTGTATTTTTTATGCCTACAAATGAAATGACACTTATTTTTTCAACAGTATTATGTGCAGTATTCACTGTATAAAACAGACACCACATATGTTTCAAAATTTATTTTTGTTCATGCTGTTCAGTAAGAGAAATTAATGTCATTTAATGCCTACTATTCAATCTGCCTACTGAAAGAAATTTAGGAATTTTTTAGGAATGTGTAATAGCTTGCAGACATGGAGCATGTGCAGTTTCATGAAGAGAATTCAATAGTAATAGTTCAATGTTATGCTTCTCTGCTGTTTACCTTCATTTGTTCAATTTTTCTGTATCCTGCAGGTATTTTCCATGGAATTCTCTCTCCACAGTTAAGCAAAGACAATTCATGAACAGCCTCCGTAAAAAATCCTAAATCTGTAAGTACTTTAATCTGTGAAAGAATAACAGAGTCTGTGATTTAAATAATCTTCAATTATTCTTTTTGCTCAAAATAAAATGTATTCAAAGGTAATTTTTGAGTAGATTTGGCTACTGGAATAGTATAATGAAGGAGAACGTTCTTCAACTGAAAGAAGTCTTTCGCTGAAAAAAAACTCCAAAAAAACCCCTCACATCCTTCAAAAACTCACTCCTGAAAAAGGAAAAGAACTTAATTGATCTGGCTAAAGCTCTGAGAGTCAGTCCAAGATCAGCCAAACCTGTATCAGCTTTTCCTGAAAGATCTAAAACCAGTAATACTGATTAGATTACAATACAAGTAAAATTCCTTTAAAAACCAAACAGAAAAACAAATAAAAACACCACAAAATATTTAAAAGAAACAGCCAAACCCAACAAGCAAACATTAGTGAAATGACAAAAGTCTCTTCTAGAAGTCTGACAACATGGTTCCACCATGACACCAATAGCAAATTCAGAAGTGAACATTGTGAACAAAAAATCATTTATGTTTTGCACTTAATAAAACATTTAAAAGAGTGATGGGATGAGATAAAAAATATGAAGTAAAAAGTTTGGATCTAAGACAGAAAAATCTTGCAATTGTATCTTTAAGGAGAATGCTTGTTAAACGAAGCATAGAGAGAAATTATGAAAGTACTTAACAGTCTCTATGGGACACTAACAATAAAATTCTATAAGTAACTCTACATCCTACTAAAATTGAGAATATAAATAATAATTGCGTTAAGAAAGAAGTCCGATTCTACAGTCTATTGTGCTAAGAAACACTGAGCAACAGCTGCTCTTTGAAGTATTACTTTTCATAGTAGAGATATATGAAGAAATACTAAATCAACTACATTTAACAAAGAAATGAAAAGTTTATTTGAAATACAATGTGCTGCAATAAAAAGAAGTTTTGTTTGATTACCTTGAGGATTCTCCCTTCAATACATTTAACTGGGTCCTTACAAATCTCAGAAACAATGTATTGGTATAACGTGAACAGTGGTAAAATCTGTAGGAAAATATTAAGTCATCTAGTTATAAATGTCATTTACAGGGTACAATTATAGAAATATACTTTGCAATTATATATCACAAATATGTAGATAACATAGGAGAACTGCTTTCATGGGCACATACCACCACTACCTCTCTTATATTATGCAAAGAATGAATGTGTTAAAAAGATCTTCAGCTCAATGTAGAAAGTGAAGTTCACCCAAATTATTCTCTGTGTTGAAGACGGAAAGATGTTGATATAAGGGTTTCTAAATTGTTCTGCATTTGGATGCCATTTTTTTTTCCATATAAGTATCAGAATAGTAGAATTCTGTAAGCTTTATAAAATAAACAGAATTAAGTCCTTCAACTGTATAAGTGAAACAATACCAACTGTACAATAAACTGGATGGTGACAATGCTTACTGATAAATCAATTTGCATTCATTTCAAATTGAAAGTTTTTGTAAGGGCAACTAACAAAAACATTTTCAAACTGCATTCTAGTAAAGTATACAGTATACTTACATAATATTTCAGAAAAAAAACCAGATTCTTTCCTTACAGATGTATTTGTTTATTGAAAATGAAAGAACTTCTAAAATTTATTCACTGTTCAGCTTTTAAATTTTTGTTCACTTTAAAATGTCCCCGAGCCTGGAAAATGCTAACAGCACTGTTACCTTCTTGTCAAAGTAATTTTTAGTTTTCATAAAGTAGATTAATACTTGTGAATTTGGATTACAAATGCTTCAGGCAAATGTTTTAATTGTATCCATACAGTTTCCAGCTGATATTTTAAGTAGTTCAACAAAATCAGTCTTTGAAATCTTATTTTTAATAAAACTTGAATCTTGACATATTTTTATTTGTGTCAAATCAATTTAGTGCCCACCATGCAAAGCATTCCCACACTTTAAGCATTCAGTGGAAATGAAGCTCTCATCTTGCTGAAAATGCAATTGCTTTGACCATGATCTATGACCTGGATCTATATTCTGCTAATACACGTGTAGAAAGAATCAAAAATGTGCATGGCCACGTGAAGCAAGCAGCCAAATTAAGTGTCCCTGTCTCCAGGTAACTGTCTGCTCCTTATTCTCACTTGATCTTCCCTAGTGAGGGCAGTTAGACAAAGCTTAATAACGCAGTAAACTCCTGTAAAGAGGGATAGGAAGAAGCAACAACAGGAGGTAAGACACACACTTACCCTCAAGTTCCAGAAGAAATCAATCCAACAAATGCCTTGCTGACAAAAAAAAGGAGTAACATCTTGCTGCCTCCTCCTCTCTAACTCCTCTTCCATCTCTAGCCCCTAACCTTTTCTTATTCCCACGCTGCCAGACACAAAATCTTTTCCCCTCCCTTGCACCGGCTCTCCCACTCGCAGAACCTTTCTGTAAGTGGATTCAACTCATTAAAGCGGCAGAAAACTATCTACTTTTTTCTGCTGGGTAGCTTCCTGTCATCCTAAGTGTTGATTTATAGAGGTATACAATAATTGCCCAACATGAAAATCTGGTAGGCCATACAGGATCAAAGAGGAACAGAAGTAGAATTTCACCTTTTTCAGTACTAGTAAACAAGTCAATCTATTTATTCCAGGGTTAAGCACTGCACTTTTGAAAGAAGTTGGATTAAAGTGCAAGTGGTCAGTCATTAAATGGAGGAAATAAGCACAAAACCAACATAAAAGGGAAGTTGTAAAAAAACTCCCTACAGAGGGATAAGAGAATAAATGAAGCAGAAAGGATTTTTATTTAGTGAATGTGAAAGTAAAAGTGTTGAAAGCATTCTGGACATACTATATTTAAAGTAATTCTCAGTATAGTGTATTTCAAACTGTATATAATAGGACATTTCAACTGAAATGCCTAAGCTAAGTGGACCTGTATTGTCACCTTCCTGACTAAACAAGTACCTCGTATATTCTAAAAACTGTAGGCAGCAAGCTACACCTTGCCTCTATCTCAGTGCCACAGAACCTAACCATACAGGTATTTTCCTAGAGCTTCTGAGGTACCTCATAAGTACACACACACACACAAAAATAAGACTTGATGTCTGATAATTAATTTCCAGAGTGTAAAGTAATACTTACTATTAAATTTTGTTTTGCACAATGTAGCTCGAACATAATGAAGTTCAGACTTGCAACTACAGTAGAGATGTCAGCTCTGTAGCGATCAGAGAACAAATCAATACCAGGAATAAGCATATTTGTTTCATATTGTGCAAAGTCACAGTCAGACGTCGGATGTGGCAGAGAAGCTCTAAACAGGGTCTGAAAGCAATAAAGTGAACTACTTGTGAAAAGATATATAGGCATCAGTGAAACACCACAAAACTCCAACCGTTGAGACTCATAAATGACCTCATAAATGAAACCCAGTCAATGTCTTAGGTATCCAGTTGTTTCCAGACAAAACTACGAAAAATCTGTTTAGAAAAAAAGGCTCTACGTGTTAACTTGATGGAGAAGAAAACAAAAAGAGAAAAAACACCCAGGCTGTAAAAAATGTAAGGACAGTATTGCATAGAACAAGAAAAGATAAAAACTAATCTAGGTATAGAAAAATAATCATGAAAGATGGCTCAGCAAGTACTCCTCAGGTAACGAAAAATCCTCCTAAAGAGCCAATGGCATTTCTTTCAGATTCCAAGTCAAAGCATCCCAAATAAATCTCTCGAAGCACTGAAAAAAAACCCCTAATATATCACTAGGACTCCTCAGATACTTCTTAAGATAAGCCTCTGATCAGCAGACAGAAGGAACTTACAAATTATTCAAACATTTCCATAATCAAGGAAAAAGCACATGAAAGATTTGTTGAGATGATTCTGGGGTTGTGTTCAAACATTTCTTTCCCAGTCCAAAGACATTTCATGGAAAATGTCTTCCATGAGAATAAAAATGTTTTTATCTTCCCCACAAACTAGGAAATCTAGTCTGATTTTATTTAGCCTCAACTGCTTGCCCCCCCATCACCTCAGCTGTCATTTCTGGGAGAGGTGCTGACTTTATGGCCAGTTAAAAGCTAGTTCCACTCTAGTTCTGCCTTTAGCTTGTTCAGCTAGTACAGCATAAATCATATAACTCAAAATTAATGTGAATTTTAAGGAGGTAACTTAAACATTCTTTCTTTAAAAAAAAGAGGAGTGCTAGCATTGTCTCTGATGTTGGATATTCCTTCTCAGCTGTGTTTATCTTACTGTAATTAGCAACAATATGCCAGACAACTATGCATTTACATACTCAGATCTGAGATATTAACAAGCCTAAAGCTTATACCAGAGGTTGAATTTAAATAAGGTTATAAAAGCTTTGCAAGTCAAGGAACAAATTACAGACCTGAATTTCGCAAGGTGCAGTGACAGTAACTAATCATATTTTTCAAGACACTTGGCCTGCAAGCTGCATTCCAATTAATATCAGACCCACTTCAGACACGTCACAATTATAACTGCTATTATAAAACTGGATTCCTCAAAAGAAGGAATCAAAATTGTTCAGCTCTGTACCAACAGCAATTACAGTGCTAGAAGCTAGTCAAAATTCCCCTTTTCCTTTCACCTTTTTCTCCCTTTGCTGAACTTAAGGAGGTTCTAACCATGGCCTAGCGCAGGTCCCGAATCACAGCCAGGGCTGGCACAAGGTGTTAGAACGTGGCATCGGTTTGTTTTGGAAGAAGCCAGCTAACTTCCTGATGCTGCACTGGAATGAGTAAGCATTGATCCCAGTGGACTACGACTGGCAGAATACTTGCAGTTCTTCCTCCTGTATCACTTTTTGCTACTGGTGTCTTAAAATTTTCTTTTAAAAGTAAACGGAAACGCTTTTTTCCCTCTACAGTTGGTTTCTGAAAGTTTGCAAACGTAATGATCTTACTTTCTTTGTAAATGAAACTGAAACATTTTGGTCATATTTTTAGAACAAGCTTCCTCTAGAGCTGAGATTTTAGCATTACAAATTAATATCTTTCCATGTTAAAAAAGAGGTAAAAATTTCTAAGGAGTCTGTTCTCCTGGTTGAAAACTTATGACAATCTGTGAAGACTCTGCACAGATCTGAGAGAGAGCACTCTGCTATTGTTGATGCCATCCAGCTCCTCCTAAGCAGAACACTTCAAGAGAAGAAAAATATATTTGACTAACAAATATTTTAGCCATCTTCACTTTTCAGTATTTTGTTACTTCTCTGAGACATTAGCCTCCTATTGAAGTGATAATTTTTAGGCTATAATACAGAATAATGTTAAAAAAAACAGAGAATAAAAACATCTAATCTAACGTGCATAAATTGTCAGCTACCTCTGATCTCTAGTTTTCCTTCACAATCAAAATGAAGAAATATTTTAATAGAGGTTATTAAGATTCAAATTTTAGAAGCAATTTGTCAGCTTTGTGAATTCTAACTGAAATTGTATTCTTACCTTAAAAAGTATAGCAGAAAAATAGCAGTATTTAGTTCTTAATCTCATCTTTGATGTTATTATATACCTGAAGTACAAAAAAATAAAGGAAATATGAATCTATCCACCAATATAAATTATTCAAACTCTTTTTTGAATCTAGTATAATAATGATACTAACACAATCTAGATGTTTTCCATATTGCAAAACAGCTGTTTGCACTGTGTGTAAATGCTCAGCCATCCCACGCCAAGAAAGAAGCGTTTATTAGACTAAAGGCATATCTAGACAAAAGCTGTCTATCAAGCAACTCATACCTTAAAGTGTATTTTTTTCCATAAAGGAAGCCTAAGATAACACACATGTGGACTTGCAAATGGTAGGTGTCTAGCTAGATTAAATTAATCCCACACAGTACCTCAGCAGAGTTTAAGCCACCCTAGTAGCAGGGTACTCTTCTGATCTGCAATATGAGAAATCTTTAATACTGTGTTAGAGTCCTTTAATCTACATTTTACAGCCTGAGACTAAGATGCTCTAGAAAGAGCAACTCAGGGGAAAGATGTTTTAATAGCCCAAGAGAAGAGAAAAGATTTGCCTGAGGGAGAAACTGAGAGGATAGCTACCTCCAGATCTCTCCGGGATTTGGATGTATTAGCATTAAAGGGAGAGCACACAGGGCAGCAAAGTGCCACAAGCACTTATAAAAGCAGGCAGAGACTGGGTCTTGCCTAGCTGGACCTGAGACTACACCATAGGTCAAAGAGCTGTGGTTTAGAAACAACTTAAACTCATTTTCCTCCCGTGTGCTAATTCTTAGTGTGGTAATGCTGTTTCTGTCCAAAATACCCATGCTACTACTTTCAAAGCTACCTTACTTCTCAGGTATTTTGCAATGTTATTACTGCAACCCGCTTCGCAGGTAGGACAGTTTACTCAGATGAAGTTCTGCCCTTTCACAGGTATAATGTTTCTAAGGTCATTTAGAGCTGGCTTAGATATTTCTAAATTTTATATTTTGTACATTTTAATATTGTACAACACACTGAGGAACAGCTCAGAATTACATCCATAGTGCCACACCAGCAGTCAAGGAGTACTGGACAGAAATATTTATTGATGGTAGACTTTAATACAGTCATTCAAATTTCATTTACTTGTAATTCACCAGAAAATGAGTACTTTAGGCAGTAAATCTGCCCTCAAGATACATTAATATTTAATATGTGCAATGACTTGGGAGATGTGATATTTCAATTGAAAATCAATATGACTGTAAAATCCTTGCACTTATGACTTTTTATCATTTGGTTTTATTTCAGTGATCTCCCCATATAACATAAAGCTGCAATTACGATCAAAGACGAGCACTTGAGAAAAGGGAACAAACAATTTTCTCCAAAAGAGCAACTTTCTTCCTGAAAAATTCCTCTGCTTTTAATTATTTTTTAATGGCAACTTGTTAGTGTTTAAAAACAGTAGTCTACTCCCTAGGATGAGCAATTTGTTTAAAATATGAAATAAATATATAATATACTTACTGAGCTATTTTAGCCACTAAGATGGCTGCATGTAAACATCCCCAAACTCCAGCCTGAGAAAGAAGTTTCTGACTAACATCAATCAATCTTCTAAATGAAAAACAGTCACCTGTAGCATTTTTTGGAAAACCTAACTCTTGCCAGTTGTTAAGAGCATCAGCAATGTTGAGTGTTTCATCAAGGGCTTGACACCAATATTTAAAAGCAGCTCTGTAACACATAAAAAAACGTTCTCATCATATTGCTGACATTTTCCAAAGGAGAAGATAAGACTAGCTTCATTTTACCTTTATTGCCTGAGATATAACTAATTCTGATTAGGTCAAAAACTGATATACAGTTTCTACAACACGAAAAGATAGCATTCCTCGTCCACAGACTTAGTGGGACTTGTACTAAAATTAAATTATCAAGCAACAGTTATTACTTCTTAAAAACACATAGACATGTTTAATTAATTTGGTTAATTGCAATTAGCTAGCTAAGAAAAATGGACAATTTCTAGAAAAAAAAGCCTCTCAAATTAGAGCTATAGTTAGATGAAAGAAGTTAGATGGATTTGAGGACAGCAAAAGAACTTACAATACAGTTGAGGGACATAAGAATGCCAACTAAAAAAATTAAACACTCCTCTTTTTTAAACAACACTTATTTACCTTTTGTTTCCAGCGTAAAAGCGAAGATTTCCAAGCTCATGTAAAGCCTGAACCTTGAGGTCTCTCTGGTTGTTTATTCCAAGGATTTCTGTTAATTATTTTTCAATCAATTAGAAAAAAGTATTGTCATAGAATTAAATTAATTACTGAATCTTGAACAAATTTTGTATGAGAGAGTGGACATATTCACATGTAATTCAGTGCATGAATAGTATTTGAAAGATTTATTAAGCTTGCACTTTTTACCTTCAAAATTACAATTTCTTACTTCTACTGCCTTTAAAAAACAAAGTAGCATGTATTTATGACCTGTTTACTGAAGCTTTTGTATTTTTGGTTTTTTCAGGCCTCTCAGATTTCTCCCTCTTCAAAAGAAAAAACAGGAAGCTGGCCATTGGCCCTGCTAAACAACAGTGCCTGCATACAGCACAGTAGCACTGTCCCTGGCTCATTGCTGGATCCCTTATTTAAATAAAACCACTTATGGCATCTGTTGACATGCTACACTTCACTTGTTTTGTCATACAGCAAACCCAGGTATAGTGCTGAGCTGTGAGTAAAGCCACACTACACTGTAAGTTGGAAGCCAAGCAACCGGGTCTCAAATTCAAGTGCACAGAATTGAAAGGTCTGTTTGCCAGGAAAAAAACAAAACCAAAACCAAGCAAACAAACAAACAAAAACAAACAAACAAAAAAACCCACCAGAAACAAAAACAAAAACCTGTCATGGAATTGAAATGAATATCCTATACATTACAGCAGATTTTTAATTTGGGATTAATCAGTATAACACCACTGAAGTCATGCTTCTTCATAAGATGAGATCACTAGCTGATTAGAACCAACTAGGGGCTTGTTTAGGATCTAATGTAGATTTTCTGATTCAACAGAAGGAAGGCTGTGTATTTCTGGAAACCAGCTTTCAGACAGTTACAGTTGGCTGACAGAGGAAAATAACACCAGAATAAACACATGTAACACAGGCAGAATGATAGTACATCTTAGCTGTAAATGGAAATTTATGAAAAAAATTACCAATTGTATGTTCATAGGAAGAGATGACTACTGAAAGCTGTGACTGTGGTATTGGTTTACTCTCAACCATACCAGAGTAATTAAAATTTTCTTGAGAAAGGTCATGCGGCGCTGGTAGAAACATCATTTCAGCTCCCACGCTAAATACCAGCCTCCTAGTTGAAGAGGTACGACCGCTGATTGCTCTTCCAGCATTTTCTAGACCAGAAAAGTGATTTATATGATCAGTTTGGAAAAATATTATACTATTTCCAGCACAAATATATCCACACCACATTACAGAATCACAGAATGTTCGGGGTTGGAAGGGATCTTGGAAGATCATCTAGTCCAACACGCCTGCCAGAGCAGGATAACCTACAGTAGGTCACACAGTAAACAATCATACACATATATGATTTCTGTGTACCCTATTTTTATCTGGTTTCCTATTCTATGATTCTGGCTGCACGTCTCCTTAATTAGTCATTGGACATAACACACTGGTCAGTGCAAACAACTGAAAATATGTGCTCTGGTAGAGAAAATAAACCTGGTAAGATCTGACAGTCAGTCCCCTGACAGAAGTTTGGCTGCAAACAGACAATGACATACCTGCATGAAAAAAACTTTATCATCCAACCATGAGACACAAATCACAGGAAATCAGGCTTAGAGCTTGTGCTTACACAAGTATATAACTTTATAGTCTATGGTTTTTTCTAATTGTCAGTAATAACAAAGTTGAATTTTTAAAAATCTGTTACTTTGACTCTTTAATATTTTAACTGTGTATACAGTGTATACCTTCAACAAATAACTCACCTTGTGTGTGTGCAAGAAATAACAAAAGTAGTTTTCTGCTGTGTCTCAGCGCTCTGCTGTGATATTTTGACTTTTGTAGAGTTTCTCTAAAGCATTTCAATGTATCATTCACATCAAGAGGCACATAAACTAGGGCTTTTGCTTGACTGTGATCTAAAAGAAATTATGGAGAACAATTTTGCACTACATAAGTATATATTTTTAGTAAATCAACCTGCAAAATATACATCTGAACAATTCCACAACTTCAAAACTAAAGTCACCTTTTTTTCCTATTGGTTTATGAATTAAAGCAAAATTATTAACCACTAGGAACACTTCTGAGCATTTATAACTTTTTCAGTATTACATTTTAGTTGTTGCATGACATCTATCCTCCTTGAAGTCCATCTGCCCTGGGCATGCCTTGTCTCAAGCCTCTGCTCTGAATTCTAGAGTCTCAAAAGTCTGGAAGCAAATCTATTACTACAATTCCTGATTCTATTTACTACAATTGCTGCAGTTCCTGGGTACCAAACATGTGTGTTGGCATGCTCTCTCCACTCAATATATAATATTATCTACTCTTCTCACATACAGCATTATTTATTTAATTACTTTCCTCAGCTGAATTCAACACAAAGCCTTGTGTGTAATGCATTGACATATCTGTGATATGAAGAACTATGCTTTACACACTTCCATTAATTACGATAAGATTTTAATCCTGCTTAAAAAGAACAACAACTGTGGTTAAAAGAGGTGTTTTGTCACCTTGCAGTTCACTTGTGTTTTTCTATTGATTCTATCAACGGAAGTGCAAGTTCACACTAACTTCTGGGTATATTGGTGGATATCTAACAATACTGATAGAAAACTGGACTCAGAAGCCCAAGCTCACTCAACATACTGTAGGTCACTTGGCATCTCAGTGACAACTGCTTTTCTCTGCTTTCAGATACAGTTCAGATACTGTCTGAATATATTTCAAAACTTTCTTATCCATGCAAAATATCAGTAGTAATAATAATAATATGAGGCAAAATGAGTTTATATTAAAAGAAACAGATGACAGGAGCAGTGTAAGATCCAGAATAAGGAAGGTGAAAAAAGAATCCAGTATGAAAATAAGGAAAAGGTTTAGGAGAAAAGAGAACTCATGATACTGAAATGTTCTCTGACCTGTATAATCATTTTTCATCTCTGGATAGTGAAAGCATCCAGGAAAAATTGGTTTGTTATCCGAATCGGCAACAGTCAGCTGTAATTTCTGCCCTATGTAGTTTCTGCAATTCATCTAAAAAGCAAGTTTTGTTTCATGAAAACTGAATAATATTAAAATCAACATATGGTGCTTAAAGTTAAGTATCTAGTCATATGACAAAATAAGAGGACTAATATACAAATATACAAAGACATAAAGTAGTACTCTTGTCAGTAAGACATGAAACATTCACAGCACCTAAATATTGGATATAACATTTAAGTGTTTAAATGCTAATGAATTAAACTTGTGTCTTACTTTATGTTTCCCATAATCATGAGCTACTCTTTGGCGTTGAACAAATATTCCACCTTTCTTTGTCTGGATAGACGTGCGCTTGCAAAGAACCCGTCAATGTAAGTGTACCTAAAGAGCACGCTGCTTATAAAGCACACCATAATGCTACATAGGGGCATACAAAATAACTCTAAGTCAATAACAGGAGTCTAACCCTGTCCAAGAAACAGACTTCCAGACTTCCATACAGGGCTAATCCAATACAGACATTTTATTTTCCTAAGGTAGCTACAGCACTTCAGAAGCAAAAGAACCAGTTCAGAGCTAGTTCTAGGCTCTCTCAACGGCACTGCAGTGTGAAAGGCAGCCATTGCCTCCAAATTTTTAACTTGATGAGGTCTTTTTTGAACAATCCTTATTAGTAGTAAATAAAATTAGTCTTTATTCTGTAAATTGTCTTTCAAAATTATGATTACTTTCTGATTACTTTCCCACATTCCTCAGATTACAGTAGTATGTGGTGGTTTGCCATGCCACTTTTTTTTTTTTTTATGTACGAAGGACTATTTTCTTAACTGCGGGGCCTGAAAGAAGCCAGCAAGAAACAGCCTTACAGAGAGACCAGGTGGAGCTCCTCCGCTGCCCTTCGCAGGCCAGGAGTGCCTTCTGAGTTCCTGCAAACCCTGGGCAGCAGAGAGCTGCCTCTAGACAAGGCAGTGGCTCCTGAACCCCATGTTCATTTTCAGAACAAACCTATTTGGAATTCCAAACTCCACTTTCCCCCCTCTCCTGCAAGTACTATGTTTATATTAGTAATGGAAACATATTTTAAAAAATCAACCATGTGGCAATAAATCTTGGGTTAAAAAAAAGGAAAAACCTAATTTTTAATAGCTAATTCCCTGAAAAAATTCCAAGTGGCAATGTCAGTTTACTAAATATTATTAAATATTCTAAAATTATAAAAGAAATTATAAAATACTATCAAGTCAAAAGAGCGGCATCAAGAACTAACATGAAATTAGATTTAGGCTCACAATACGCAATGGGTACATTATGCACGGAAGAAATGTGCTCCGGGTCATCACGTCCAGACCTCTGCTGCTGCTGGAATTGTCATCTAAGACTCTTCATCCACTTCAATCAATTATGTTCATTAATTTATTATAATTTACTATTTGTGAACATTATGAAAAAACATAATAATCTAATCACTGCAAGTATTTCTCCGTACTTAGTTCACATTAATAGTCAGTGCCCAAAAAATAAATCTGTGGTTCACCTTGTGTGCATTATCAGACAAATATTTTATGAAATGAGATTCACGTCTGTCTGGGCCACTGAATTGCTGTATCCTTTCCAGCAGCTGCCTCTGAGCATACACCAGCAGTGGACTCACTTGTTCTGTGTATCTCTCACTGAAAAAAAAAACCCCAAGTATAGTTATTAAGTGAAATAATGGCATATTTAACTATATAATGTTGCTTTTTTGGTTTTATTAGAGTTGGCGTAACTTACTGTGTAAATATGTTAAACTGTACAGCTATGTGTACCAGTGCTTCCCACTTCTCCATTTGATATAACAATTCTATTGTTTTAAGAATCAGATTACATATCAATTTCAAGTCAACTACATGCACATCATCCAGGGGAGACTGTGGGTGGAGATTAGAACCACCATTCTCGTCGATAATTCCTCCTAAACAACTCGGAATGCAGAAGTCTCCTTCAGGATCCACAATCTACAGTGAAGAAACAATGTTCTGCCTGTTATTTTCAAGCTTGTTTTTAGGACAAATCAAATTATAAAGACTATAAACCACTATCATACTCTAAAAATTTGTTACAGATAATAACTTGGAGATATGAGAATACAACAGGAGGAAGAAAATTATCTCTGCTGAAGATGTGATAACAAAGAGTATATGTCTTAATAGAAATAATTTTTACCTTGAGAGATCTGCTTGCCTGTAGTTCAGTTATCATATCAATGAGCATGTCGGATGCCAAATAAAATGGGAACCAGACAGTGTTCCTAAGATAATCCCAGGTAATGGGAAATACATCCATATGGGCATGTGAATGGTTAACCATCAACTGTAATTCTTGAGTATAGTTCCAAAGTTCTCGACAAGCATTTTGAAGTAACGTCCAGTAGCCACCACGGTGAGCAAGAACCTATGCATATCATTCAAAATATAAATATACCTTGGAAATAAAGAACTTAAAAGCTCCATTCTTTTATTGAACACCTTAGGTATAAGCAATCTTTCAAAATTACAGTCTATGGATCATCCTTAATAACAAATCATTCAGTATTTCAATTTACATAAAGGATTATACAACCTTAATTTGGAAATTTTCACAGAAGCAGTAATTTATAACTGAATTTAATTGTTGCGTTTGGTGTAAGAATAAAAAAAAACCTAATTCACACCACCTATATATGTGTTTTTACTTGGGTTTAGAAGAGTTTACAGGAAGAGTAGTCAGTATGGACTTCCTTTTAATCACTGGTCCTTCTCTTTATAGTACTGAGGCATTCGCTAAGACCTCTCAAGGGAGAGGTAAGTCTGCGAGTGTTTTCAGAAAAAGTTAACACAGGAGAAGGAAAGTTACAAAGATTAAATGAAAAATAAAACATTTATGTAAATTATTTTGTTTGATAGAAATATACTTTATGATATGTACTATGACTGACATTTCACACACCAAACTTGAGCATTTTGCAGAAGATGAGAAATCATTGCTTTTTCTGAAGTTTTAAGTTTCTGAAGCACATTTTTTTTTAAAGTATGTAATAGTAAGCATTTAAATGCAATGCTTAGTAGCAATTAAGATGTTTAATAAGAAAGTATATCTTACCACTGCTTTTCTTAAATGCAAAAAAATTTTTGTAAAATGCTCCAATAAAATGGCATTTGAAAGAGGATGGTTGTATTCTTTGGAGGAACAAGAGATGGATATTTCTGTATCATTTGTTGTTTGAATTTGAGGAGTATCTGTTCCACTCAGTTTAATGATATGCTCAGGAGATTTATCTGTACCTGTAGATAAAAAGTTCACGAGTTAAAAATGAGTTAAAGTTCTCAAAAAAAAACCCAACCAAACACTATCAGCCAGCTGAGATTTTCCTGTGGCAGCTAAATACTTAAATGTTAGGAAATGCCAATGTTAAGGTTATCATATTTATAAGGTTATGATATTTAAAATATAAGATGCTTTTACTCAACCATTGGGAGAAGTAGGGATATAAAAAAGTTTGAGCAAAATCATTTTCAGCACTCACAGAAAGTAAGTTTTACGAAGAAATCCCTCTGTGGCAAGCCCCCAAGAACCTTTCTAAAATCGAGGCCTTTTAAAAGCAGAATTGAGGAAGAAGGAGAAATTTCTAACAAATCCTGTATTATGTGTAGAACTGCTTCATTATTTTATACAATATGAAATACCCTCCAAAGGAAAACACAAAGGTTCAGGGTAGTGGGATACAGTAATATCTGAGCTATAGATTTCAAGCAGAATCTAATTTCAAGCTAAACAGTATTTGAACTCTGGTAAGCTACACCCTTCATGTAATTCATTCAAAACTGCTGCACAGTCTAGGAGGTACTAAAGAGGATTTTCATTAGTTTTCAGCAACTTTCAGTCACTTGGTTCTTTTGACCTTAAGACAAAAGAGTAGAGCTAAAAGTAAGAGAACCAGTGAATTCAACTGGTAGCTTTTGCCACAATTCCTTGAAAAAAAGCAAAGAGGATGGCTGAATCCTACCTAACAAAGTCCTGCATGAAATCATAGGAAAAGTTTGTTCTCTACAGCCATGGCAAGAATGTGCTCTGAAGCACTGCTGAAAAGACCAGGCTTGTGATTTCTCCTTGTACCTATGGTGGCTAGGGAGACTACTCGGTTGACTTCTACAGAACAGTCAAATGTGAGAGACAGAGAATTGAAGTAGAAGTGGTAGAAGATAAAAAATTGAAACACTGGGCAGCAAGCAATAGAAACAGAAATTTAAATTACTCTACGTAAAATATGAAAGATAATAATAAATCAGTCTTTAATTTTAAGAAAGACTTATAGAATGTCCCAGGAAATTATTGACATGTTAGGAAATCTAAAAAAGACTACAGACCCATTAACAACCACAGAAGCTGATAAAAATTATCATTGCGTTTTGAATAACTTGGAATATTATCAATTTAATAGGTCAAGGTAATGTCGCTTTTGCAAACCAGAGGCTAGTATCACTGTTTTATTAGAATTCATAAACTTGTTACTAAAGCATGGGACAAAAAATAACCAATTGATAAAAAGTAACACATTTATCAATACAATAAATAATGCTCAGAGTTATTATAAATGTCCCATTATTGACTATGATTTCTTTTATATTGGGTATACCAAAAAGAGAAAAAACACAGAGGAAACTTTTGAAATTCAGAAACATCTTCTTTTTCAATTGGCAAGAGTGTTTTTGCAAAGGTGATGCTGAGAACTAATGATAGATGTCAAGACAGAAATTAAGAGAAAGTAAGATAAGTTGAAATTGATTCCACTTGTGCACACATTAAAAGTTCTTACAAGTTTGGTTTTTGGTCATTCCTGACTTAAGGAGAGGAGAAGTTGGTGTTCTCATGTTATACTTTACAGTTTCTCTCACCACTACAGTGCCAGAATTATTTAATGAGAATATTTCAGGATCCAAAACATTGTAACTGCAGAATGGGAGAAAAAGAAGAAAGCATAAAAAACTCAGAGATATAATATTAAAAATAATTTTTATATACAGACACAAAATTCAGTTTCTCAGAAGTGAGTTTTGATCACTTTTCAGTAGCTTTAGGAATCAGAAGTAACGAATTATAGTCAAAAGTTATAAGGAACCAAAAAATAGCACAGTATAGTGTATTTCAAAACTTTCATCAGTCAAGTGAGCAACCAAAAATGTGCATATGATGGAAAGCAAAACTTGTTACATACTAAATCAATTTGCATTTGGAAGCTGAACTGTTCATATGACAAACTGACTAATGACACTGTAATTCAATCTGTTTGCATGAATGGCAGTAACACAATCTTTGTGTAACAATATCATCATTATGTTCCTAGTAATCAATGATAAAGCAGTAAAATATACCTGTTCAGATACTGTGAACCATAAATTTCAATCTTAAATTCTTCTTCTACTTTCTTTTTAAATAAGTTGTAGTGTGCAACTGCCAGGTAGATATTCATCTGAGACCTCCAGGGCATCTCTTCAAGACACATTTGACGAAACCTCTTTCGGTTTAAATAATTACTCACAATTGGCTTCAGCAGTATCACTAAGGTTTGACAAGCTACTTTTTGCAACTTTTCCTTGCATTTCCTAAAACAAAATATATGAAGCAGCAAAAAGTGAAACTGTTTTCTTGAAGTTCTAGGGGAAAAAAAATCGTGGTAAAGGTACACAGAAGTATCTCATTGCATAACCACAGACAGAAGCAAGGACATATTTCTAGCAAAAGGATTTTGGCTGCAGTCAAGAAAAGTAGTTGCGCTTTCCGTCTTTAAATGCACTTAACACACACTAAATCCTAACTTACATTTTACCAACTGACATAAAGTATTTGTCTTAGTACTTACATAAAATTTAGCTCTGGGTTTGAAGTTATTTATACCTGAATCACTCAAAGAGATTATTATAGCCAACATCACGTGTTTCACACAGTCTTTTCAGGAGATGGAAGGTCTACTGTTACACTACAAATTCAGATAATTTTCTTTATTTCTGTGTTTTGGTAGCTAATCATCCTCAATGCGAAGAAAACACTTTATTTCACATTTGCATCTCTGGCTTTAATTTCCAGTTATACTTTTTTTCAATATATATTTCTCTGCCAGATCAAACAATTCGGTATTTCCTGGCACACATACAATGCTCTGGACAAATTAAATCTCTTTTTCTTTTTTTATAAACTCATCCTTTTATCAATGTAATTTTTTTTCTGCCTGTTTTTCCACCTTTAAAAGGCAGGCAGTACAGTGTACCATATGCTATATTGATTATATTATACATAAATATTTATTATGTAAGATACAAAAGAGTAGCTGAAAAAGCAAAAAGCCCAGGATAAGTTAAACATCCTCTCTTCCACTGAAAGCCATGAAAATCACATTAAGTAAAGCAGGTTTTTTCCGCCAAGGAGGAAAAATTGAGGGTTTAGGTAAATATTTAGAAGATAGTATATGAAAGACTTTTTCAAAGTTTTCTGCTTGCTTATTGCTGAAAGCATAGGTGACCAAACACCAGGCAATGAATACTACAAATTCTTTTAGGTCAGAAGGTACTGTTACTAGCAAGTTAATAAAAAATATACCAAAAAGAAAACAAAAAATCACTCTGAAACTACATGAACATCAGGAGACAATAAACATTCTTTATTAGATTTCCAACAGGTAAGCTCCCTACACACTTTGAAAAGCAGTATAGTACACAGATTAACATAGATTTTCTGCCTTGATGAATCAATACATACAAGTTAACACAACTAAAATACATTCTTTGATTATTAATGCAAAGACTTCTAAATCTTCAATAGTTGTTCTCTGAAATAAATGATACAGATTTTGTCCTCTTGAGTGGAAGCCAATTTTGTACCAAACTAAACCAGAAAAGTAAGTGGACTGTGCACAAATTCATACCTCTGACAGAAAAAAAAACACTCGTAATCTAAATTTCACTCAAAGTATTTGGTTCTGTATATGAACGTGACAACTTATGTTCATTTACCTTTGTGCTTCTGGAGATGTCATTATGTTTGGATGTTTCATTAAATAGTGTCTAAGAGTCTGTTTTTTTCGAGTAGGACTCAAGGTTTCTTTTCTTGGTTTCTTCAAAGCTGATGTCCCTGGTTCCTTTAAAACTGAGGTCTTCATGCTCTTTAAAAAAATCCCCCATGAAAATCTTAAATATATTTCCAATACTTATTTATACCTACATTATCAATTATTTGAGATATAAAGCAGTTTGGTTTGTGCAGGAACAGAGCAGAACAGAACACAAAACAAATTCTGGACATGTTTGTCAAAATAAGACAGAAGTAGAAATGTTTAATATTCCAGAAACCTTTATATTTTTTCTGGAAGATATATGTCAAATGCCTGACTCTAAGAAGCCAGCCAGGTCCCCAAATATTTTCTTTCACATACCAGTGTTTTTCATCTAAGAAATGATGAAAGTAAAATTTTGCAATGCAAAAACTGACACAGAAATTCCTTTCCCTATATCAGATGCTAGCAGTATTACATCATTAATAGAGGGTTATGAGGAAGAAAATTCTTCTTCCAAAACAATAAAAATTCATTAAGTTTTTCTTACCTTCGAATAAAAGCAAAAATTTATTTTAAAATAACTGAACAAAAAGCTTTTGTTGTGCAATTAGATTATCTGCACAAGGAGTTAATCATCAACTATTCGTGTAAAAGTGTAAGTACAATATAATGCAAGAAAAGGCCTAAACGGATCTCCATCTCTTAATGTGATGGTTGTACCTAAGGCATTTCCTATTAACATAATGGGTTTTTTTAAAGGGAGCTGATCAAAGAAGAGTTTTCACTGATTTTTGGAATGCATTACTCTGACTTGTCTAACATTCTTCCCAATTGTTGGCCTTGGAGACTAATCCCATGCCAACCTTGTTTCCTGATTTTAGGGGTGCAGAAGTGAGCTGAGGACTAGAGTTTGCATCCCAAATTTTAGTAATTATCCATGTCTCTAGCTGAGGTTTTTGCTTTTGTGCTTATGGTATGGATGCCCAGTAAAGATATACATGTTTCCTTACAAATAAAACTTACTTTACATCCATCCATGCCTTCTGAAAGAGTGGGAGAACTTGTTTCTGGTGTTGAAATTCCATTGATACAGAAAAGGTGGTTGCTCCTCCTGACAAACAAATAATGTTAAAATAGTCATCATCATCATGTTAAATTCCTTTCACAGTTAAAGGGTTATCTTTGGGAATAGATAGAGCACATGCAATTCCTATTTCAACAAGAGCTTTAAATTCAGCAGTTGTCTTTCCTTCTTCCCCTTCAGAAAACAGGAAGTGCTCATTTTCAACATTTATTATAGAAAAAACAGTTTGCTTCATTACCCAAATTCTGCTACAGAATTCTGCTCAGAACTTCTTCAATCTTTTTGTCTTTTTAACAGCAGTTCCTATTCCCTATAATGTATCTCCTTTTCACTGATGATTTGCCTTTCAAATTGTAGAAATACTGGTGTGTGTATTCAACAAAGTTATAGTTAAATTTATTTGGGATCCTTTTAGGTGGATACTTTTAGGTAAGTGTCTACAATTTGGTTCCACTTATCTTTTCAGTATAGAATTCTTTTTAGATGCTACAGTATGCCCTGATTAGTTTGCTTTTAATTTAACCCAACATATTTTCCTAAGCTATCCCACTGCCTCACAAGAATATGGCAAACAGCCATAATACCAAGTGTTGCCTTTGAAAAGAAAAGTCCTGGAAGTTAGTGACAGTAAACAGGAGTTTTGAACAGACACAACCAAGGGAGAAGTCTCCATATATAACAAGGTCACAATAAAATATTTTCTGCAGCTATATAATCCTCTGTGATCATGGAACTTCTGCAGACTAGGAGACATGGAAATGGCTCCAGATAGGTCTTCCACCAGGTGAAATTTAGTTCCTGCTCTGTAACACTGGTGAACCTGAGTGGTAGTTCTCCACTACTACTATCAAACAGGTTTACCTTTTCAAGTAAACTTCCACATCGTTTGCCCATTCCAGAACGCATTGAAACATCTCTTCATTCAGGATTTTGTGCAAAACTTGAACAAAGAACTCAATAAAACGTGATTGCATTCTGAATTTCATCACTGCAATGAAGTAACAAATAATTAACACACTTTTTGTATTTACACTGTAACAGATTTCTGAATTCACCTGTAACTACAGCTATATGTGTCAAAGCATGTATTTGTGTTATGTTGCATGCTGATGAAGAAAAGGCATACTGATACTGAAATCAGGTGGGTCACAATACACAACACCAAATAGCAGGTTGCTAAATAGTTCTTATGACCAGGCATTCAGAATCATAAGTTCACTCTCTTCATACTCCTAGAATGACAGTCATTCTAGGAATGGAGAAAACCACTTTTATATCATGCAGTACACAGTGCAAAAAGACTTTGCAATACTATTCAACTGCCTAATTGCACACATGCCTGAAAATCCTGAGAAAACAATAAAGCCATAATAAACAAAGTAACTTCATCCTATTCACCTAGTTTGGTGCACAAGCACCACACAGTTCTCACTGCAGCAGTGGAGCTGTGTTGTTTCAATTTTACGCAACTCTTTGTTCGCAAACTGCTTTTGCTGTTTGGCTGTCTTCATAATTTCTTTTTACCATCAAGAAATAAATATTTATCCTATCTGGAAGCTATACTAATTTTCCAGACTAGGGTCCATTGTTATTTTGAATACCAGTATTAAAAACATAAGGCAGTGAAAAAGGGCACATACTATAATCAAAAATTCTGTTTCAAAAATACTCAGACTTCATGGATTCCTCTTTCAGTAACATAAATTAATGTGGAAACAGGGTATCACAATTTAAAATTAACATTCCATGCAAAAAGAGCCTTTGAAAACTTTACACAACTACCAAAAAAGGGCTCATTTTTATGGTTGTTGGAAAATAAACAGAATTCAAATTAAGATATAAATATTTAATATACTTAATGTCAACATCTAAAATAATTTGTTGCAAGCATTTAATATGCTTTTAAATGTGACTATAATAAAAACTTTTTCAAGCTATGTGGGGCTTTTTTGTATATTTGAGAATAAAATGAAGAGAAAGTTTCCAAGATCTTATTCCAAGAAAGAAGTAGAGCTTACTGGCAACGTTCTAAAGTAAAGAAGCCTTTACAATTAAAATAAACACCAATAATCCTACCTTCTTGATAAGCTGTCTTTGATGTCCAACATGAAATTACAGGGTAGAGGAGCAAAGGATCTTCCTGTCCTGTAAGTGCTGATCCACGAGCTATGTCAAGAACCAAATCAAATACGTTACGGCAAGCAGCAAGAAAGTACAGTAGAAAGTCTACCTGGAATTCTAATTGGAGACTAGAAAAATTCTTGTTTAGCACAGAGTTTGCTTTTAAATCTCACACTGTCATAAGAGAGGTCAACTTTTGGAACCGGTTGCCCATAAAGCTTGTAAGATCTTCTCCAGAGTGATTCAAGACTTCACTGGATAAACGCCTCAGCAACCTGATCTAATTGTAACTGTTTTGAGCAGGGAGATGGAATAAAAGCCTTCCAACCTGAATTATTCTATGATTCTATCCAGGCTCTAAGGACTATAAGATGCCATGTAAATACAATGGAAAAAAAAAAAACAGTAGTCACTCTGTGGTTTAAGTTCTGATGAAATTTCCTTTATAAGTCCTACTTATTAGTTGTTCTAGCTTTGGCAGAATCATTAACCTGAAATTTCTTGTGCTTAATCTAGACTCTAAGATACTTTAAAGTTGATGTATTCATTCCTGAGTTACAAAGCAGTTAAATGCTAGTATACAAGCAATTCTTTCAAAAAAAAAAGGACAATTTCTGCTAACTTTCTTAAGGAAGACTTTTCTCCACTAAAATTTCTGCAGTGGTCATTGTTATTAGCACTGGTAAGATAGTAAGACATGGTCTTTCCCAATGCTTTTTCTGATATAAGAAGGTAAAGTAAGCCTAAATAACACGAAACCCAATTTATACAGACTGAGAAAACAAGTATATTTCCATAATAGAACAAAAATGACCATTCCTATCCAAGAAGAAATAAGTGTTTTGGTAGAAATTATAAAAAAGATGAATAAAAGTAATTATTCGCATCACTACCAAGTATAAATTAGACCAGTAAATGTATGATTTTGGTTGATACATCATAGAAGATATATGAAATAAAAGTACTTCTTAGGTAAATAATTTTTACAAATAAACTATAGAAAATTCCAAAGAAACAGTATGAAGTATATTAATAGTAAACCCACCTGGTTTTGTCAGTCTGAGAAGATCTGATTCAAGAGCACTTAGATTTTCTGTTGCGTTTTCCATTGCAGCTAAATGAGATCTCTTTGCAGAAGTGGTCTGAAATGTCCAATATTTAGTTATGAAAACTTAGCTTTTACTCAAGTAAAACCAGCTGGTTTCAGTTGAACAGATTGATTGACATAATATGTTGTTTTCCAGAAAAAAAAAATAATCTTTTATAGATTAAATATTGCCTACAGAAATTAAAATCTTCCTCTAGAAAGAAAGAAAGTCTCTTGCTTTTCACTTCACTGAAAATGCAATTATCAGTCAGCCCTACTTGGCCCAAGATATTTTATTGTTCCTATGATCTTTGATTCCTTTCTCTTTTTTGGTGTGAACTTTGGAGCAGCTAACACAAACTCAGCAAATAAACAACAATGCAGAAAATTTTGTCCTCGATCCTACCAGTGTCCTACACATTTTCTTACAGAAGCTATTCCCTGTAAGCTGATGGATTTTTTGTCCCTCCCTTTGATATATCTCAGTTTCATTCCCACATTGCTTCATTTCTTCCTCTCTCATTATTCCTACTCTCTTATCTCTTTTTCAAATTTCCACTCCAGTAAAACCTCTTCTAAAGTTATTAAAGTAAAAAACAGCCAGAAAAGTATAGAGACAACACTTTAAGTTGCAGGAAATCTGTACAATCTGCTCCATCTCTTTGTAGTTTAAGTATTAAGGTCTTTGAGGTTGACAGCTTTTCCTCCATTGAGAAATATTTTTCAGTCTACACAATTCCTAAATTACTCTGTTACTATGACTCAATTTCAAGCAGCTGCTAAACAAAATAAGAGGCTAAGTTTCTACATTATATAGGATATTTTTGCTCCACTTATGCAATTCTTTAATTATTTTCTGTCTGAAAAAGTATTCCTGGAAGCTATATGTGAAGATCAGTCAGGCAGGCTTGTATAAGGATCTACAGGATCCTCTAAACTGTAATATTGCTAACGCCTCTCCATTCAACAAGATGAGACTCTCCAACTGCTCTTAACAAAGATGACTACAATTGAAAGAAGCCTCTCGGCTGCACATTGGAAATTCTTATTCTACAGGGAAACTCTTATTCCATACAACCATACAGACTGTCTGAATTCTGTGATTCTATGAACCATTTCTAAAACAAGAAGTTAATAGTCTTCAAAATAATAGAATACAGTATTTGAAGGAAAGAAAAAGTAAAAATCAGAGCAATTACTTTAACTTCTTTCTTAGTGTGTCTTTCTTTAGTTTTCATATCTTCTGATAGGCAGGCTGAGGTTGCTGATGAGTAATTCAACAACGTTTTCCCATAGTTAACAATAATTACTGCTAGTTCGTATTCTTTCCATGAACGTAGTACCTATTAAAAAATCATGTTACATATTGCTGTTTTCCATAACATGGAATGTTTCATTATTGTCTACTTATAATTGTCAAAATGCATTAATAATATAAATAGAAAATCATAGCTCAATACTTAAGTTTTCTTTCATAAAAAAGCCAGGACTACAGACTTGCAAAATAATTGGAATTGCAGATATGTTATCTATGTGTTCTACTTCTCCTTAACCTATCCCTTAGAGAAGAGAAAGATTTAACCAGAAGTAACTATTGCTGTGATTGACATTCTCCCTGCTCTCAGGCAGTACTGCTATGAAAGAATATAAAGGGAAACAAAATGATCCTCATTCACCTTTCCGGTATCAAGTGTACATTTTAAAATCCCAGCTGTATTAATGAAAGAAGTGCTGAAATTTATTTTTAAAATTGTAAAATTTATAAAAAGTAGGGAATGTTTTTAGATGGCTTTATCTTCTTTATATGGAGCTCTAAAGGCCAAAGTACTTCTACTGCATGCAAGATAACTGCACTCTAGGATGTTTGCCTTTGGGATACAAAATAAGTGTATAGATTACTCTAGGATAAATACAATACATGGCCTGACTGTAACTCAACAGAAAACCATATACTATGGATTAATCAGAAGCATTTGCAATTCACTCGTTCAGTTTGCTATTCTGTACGCTATTGTGTTGAAATGCTGCCTCTAAGGGAAAAAACCATCCGCAGTACCAGCAGACAGACATTTAGCTGGAGAGTTCAATAACAAACGTTTTCTCAGGGTTTCAAGCTTCCTAATAGGCTTTATTGGCCTAGATAGCCTTCACCTGGGCCATCTCACCACGGGACCAGGAGCTCCCTTTCAGGCCAGGCCTGAGACTACAGTCCCTGCCGGCTCCTGTGTGGCAGGAACATCAGTCTTCAGGGAGCTCCAAGCCATGCCCAGGCCTGGATCCACTGGTCTGGATGCCTGACCCACAGACTGACTCCTCAGATGGACCTTAGACTGCTCCCATCACAACAGACCTGCCTGCTGGGCTGTGTCTGACCCTAGCTGTCCTCACCAGAACTGACCCTGACCTGTGGGTTGCCGTCCCAGCTTCCGCTCGGAGCTGCCTCACCACCTTAAACTCACCCAATGATCTGGACTCCTGGTCGAACCTGACTGCCAGGTGCTGCCCGGCCAGCTGTGGCATTGCCCTCGGCTCCTTGCTACCCAGCTCTCGCCGTGCCCTAACAGTGCCCTCACAGCCAGCAAATCATTGATACCAAAAAAATGTCAGCGCTAAGGCTTAAAATCCTTATCTTTATAGAAAGAATGGAGTGAGGAATCACCAACACAGGGGAATCCCCCAAAAGCATCAGCCAGAGATCAGCTTCATTATGAGCTCTTAGCTGAGGTGTACCCAAAGCTAGAGGAAAGCTGACTTTTCCAGTACTATATATTTATCATGGTGGGTACTTTAACACTAGCATGTCTCTATACTAGAGGAAAAAAGTCCTACCAGCACCATGTTTCTCCTTATCTCACTAACTAGATTGAGCATCTGAATCATAAATGTGATCTACAGGTATGTATTATGGTTAAAAGTCAAGCCGTTTAAGTTCCTACCAGCATGTGAGACTAAATAGTACAAAGGCTCTTGTATCTGATTAGTAAATAAGCCAGATATGCTAGTCTGATTAAAACTACAAATATGGCCTGTTTGCAGTAAATACACTTCTAAATTTCTAGGTATAGGCCTTATTGAAAATACTACTACCAAGATGTTAAAATACACAGAATGATATAAAATACGTCTTTCATGTCATGGACTAATAGCTATAGTCTATTTTCTGAACAAATGAACATTCTCAATTCTGTTAAGAAGTCAAAATGTCATTATTATATAAAATGCACTGATACAAATACATTAACAAATATTTCTATACCTTTACTATTTAAGGCTGCCAGTTCTCTAAGATATCATTTTGAAGACCAGCTTACTAAATCTTTTTTTCTCTAAATGACAAGAGCTATATCTTAAACTAAGCTGTAAGCACAGTGTAAGCACACACCATACCTTTGCTGTATAAAATGAAGTACAAGCTATCATATGCTGAATACTCTCATAACCTCCTGCTTGCCTTCTCTGCAAAGTAGCACTTGGAATTTCTTGAAGGATAGCCAAGCATTTAATAAGAATCTGTAAACACAAGGGTTAAAACAAAGTTTGGAGTCTCCAACACACAAGTTTGTACCTCTGTGCAGCCTATTGTATTTGACTGTGAACTTTAAAAATACTTTGAAATCTATTGGATAGGATGAAATGCTAGCTCCACAAAATTCAATAATAAAATTTCTATTGAATTAACAGTGTCAAGATTTCAGCCACAGCCCTCTGGAATAAATTATATGTTCACATAAAATCACAGAAATTAAATTACAGAGACATTATGGATATTTTTGCTGATTTAATTAACATGAAATCAAAGAGTGCTTAATTCAGTGAGATGAAATACTCCTAGTAGATGACTGCTTAAAAATATATCAAGCTAGTCAGAATTCTAAATGAAATAAAAATGTTTCCAGGATACTCTAAAAATAAAAGACTACCTTTCCCCACTTTTGTCTATCAGACATGAAAAGAACATGCAACTACATAGGAGGTTCCACAAAAACATTAGAAAAACTTTTTCCTGTGAGGGTGACAGAGCACTGGCACAGGCTGCCCAGGGAGGTTGTGGAGTCTCTGTCTCTGGAGACATTTAAAATCCACCTGGATGTGTTCCTGTGTGACCTACTGTAGGTGATCCTGCTCTGGCAGGGGGGCTGGACTAGATGATCCTTTGAGGTCACTTCCAACCCCTGATATTCTGTGATTCTGTGTGATTCTGTGACTAAATTATTTTTCCCTTTAATTAGGAAATCTGAAACAGGAGCCATTTCCAGTGGCTAGCTATGCCTTCAGTAGGTCCTCATAGCCAACAACTTCTTAAGCAAGAGGCTATCTCTGTATGAAATTGATTTATTTATTGTTTTTCCTGAAAAACTTCTCGGGGTCCTGAGTGCCCCAGGAGTCATTCCTGAGCAGCCTCACTGGGGCCTCCTCTTACACCTTCTGCCCAGAGGCCCGGAAGTCCCAATTAAGATCAGACACAAGCCTTCAGTCCCTGTTGGAGCTATGGCATTGGTGTGCTGGTCTTCAGTTCTGCCGCCTGGGTGGACCTTGGACCTGTGCTGTAGCCTTTTCTCCAGTCTCTGGTTTCAACTCCTGCAGCTCCTGACATTTTCTCTTGGAAGGACCCTGGGCCTGCCCAGTAACTTCCCCTCATCTGGACTCTCAGTGGATCCTTGCACCAACACCCTGCTCTGCCTGCCTCGTTCAGATGCTGCCAGTCTGTGCTTTGCCTGCACTGCAGTCACCTCGTCCTTCCTCACAGCACCAACGTGCTGTCACTGCTGCTCCCCAACAAAACTACACAACTATGGGGGAAAAGTTGCATGCTTCTACTGTATCCTTGCTGAATCTAAAAACTCATCTGCTGCTTCCGAAATGGCAGGAAAGGATTCAGATACTCTATTGTCAAACAGAAGGTACTTGCTCCTGGAAAGAAGAGCATGCCTGAAAGCTAAAGACTGCGTTATCAAAATATTGAATTGCATTCTTTTTCTTAAATAGAAAACTGTACATGAAGCAAACACTCCATAAAGAAAAAGCTATAGGCAAATGCTGCTTTTCTTTCCTCCAAATTGCTGTCTGCAACTAGTATCTGAGTAGAAGTTATATCGTAGATACTACTAAGATTTAAAAATACCAGCAAATCATCCTGGAGAAACAATCAATATTCTGCAGTTACTTTAGCATATCCGAGAGCTTGCACTGAACATACATGCATTGGTAATGCACAAAACCGTAAAAGGCTTTTCTTACTACAGCTACCAAGAACTCAAAGACTCAATACTTAACTCTCCCACTGTACACTCCATTACAAGTTTAATTTTAATTACTATAACTGCAGGATTTGGATGCCAGCTGCTTTATATTAAAAAGCTCTCACCTGAACTACTGGCACTGAAGAAATCTTGTGATAAATAATTGGAGCAAGAAGACCATAACATTGTACAACAGCCTGCAGGGTATAACTTGCATCATTCAGCCAATTGCTAAGCTCAATTGCCGCAGTCATTCTTTCACATTCTGCTAATCTAGCAACCTATAAAAGAAAACCACATTTTTATTCAAATATTAATTCTGTTATTCTAAATCATTTAGGAGTGAAAGAAGACAGATATTATTGTAGTTTAAAAAGAAGTGTAGGAATCAAGATAAAAGTTTAAAAATTAATTTACATTGACATCTGTTAGAAATACATAAACAAATGTAACATTATTCATGATTGTACAGGAAATTATTGTTTTTAACCTAATTGTGCTCTCTGAATTTATCTATATAATTTACAAAGCCTCATTAACAACCTCAACCTGTGTGGAATGCAAACCTCTCAGAGTAACTAAGGGGAGGATAACAGGTCCTTCCTCTCCCAGCTATCTGCTGAAGTCCTTCCATGTGTGAGCAGATCAGTAAAGTCATTGAGTAATCGACTGCTCGCATTTTTGCAAGAGAAGTACTTCAGCAAATAAAGACTAAAATAGGAATGTCATAATACAGGAGGCAAAGACTGACTATCCAAATAAAATTTTTTTTTGTGTGTCATTAACATGCCATTATGCTATAAGAAAGTCCTAAGTAAGATAAAATAAACTCAGTATATTAAAACCATGAAACCCTGTTAGAAATTCAATATTAATGAAAATATAAGTATTAAGTAGCAGAAATGTTTAAAACTAAAAATCTAAGGTGCCTCTTAGTAGAACAAAATTAACAATGATTATATTTCTTTCTTAAATTATGGTCTACCATCACTGAAGACAAGGAAAATCCTTCCTCAGTTGGAATCAGTTGACTTTGGATTAGGCAATAACTGATTCAGAAACCATCTTTCCACCAAGATATAATATAACCTACAGCTACTAAAATACTTCAGAAAAGATGACCAGATAGTTCACAAAAAACAAAGTATTCTGTAAATAGGATTAGCACATTGCAATATTTATCTTGCAGAGTTGAAATAAAGCTGATTTAAAAGTAAAATCATATCCAGTATATTATTTTAAGCTACACATACTTGCTCCTTATAAAGTATCTCATTGGAACTGATGGAATCACAGAAGAGTGCTCCTTCCATGACATTGATGTCACAGATAGCAAATATACTCCTCAAAAAATGGTGTAAGGTAATAGGAGAAGTCTGACACACTGCTTCCAAACGTAACCTACAAAACAAAAACAAACAAAAGAATGGCAAAAGCATGTTAATGATGATTTAGATATTGCATGCCTGAAAGTGCATTTTACTAAAATGCAGTCTTTAATTTTAAAATTATGGACAAAAAGGATTACTGTAGCTACTTCTGAAAATAAGAGCTATATATAAAAATGAAAAAATTATTTAAAATTTCTAACATTAAAAAAAATAAATAAAAGGGCTAAGATTCCTTTTCAAATTGTTGTCCACCTTCTACTATCTTAAAACAGCTTTTCCTTAGCTGTTTCAACTAATCCAGTGAAATTTACTTTGAACTTTCTTTGAAAACTTGAGATTCTACAGATTATTTATTATAACTGTCTTCTTTAACACATTATTTTACTGTATTCTGACAGCAGCACATGCAGTTGTGAAGTCCATTATTAAGTATTAGTAACAGATTCCTTTTCATCGCTGACATAGTACAAGTCCCAAAAGAATTGCTTTTCTTCTGCATGCTTTTTTGTTTGGTTGGTTTTTTCTTCCCTGGGGAGATGGGGGCATTTGTCCTTGTCATATTTTTTAAAATAATTTTATTACAGGAAAAATCGTATGATTTTGAAGTATAAGAAATGAATTCCTCCTTCTCCTCGACTGTATTTCCTAAAATGAGACAAACTCAAGAAGCAAATCAGATACCAGATATCAACGAGGTTTCCTTTCCTTCCAGCTCCCTCTACTGTCTTAAGTCCTATGTACTTTCTACCTAGTTCATCTAATTTCTTAGCTACCGATCAGTAAAACCGAAACTGCCTTATTTCAGATCTGATACTGCAGCTTTGAGAATCTTCCGTTCTAATTGGTTAGATAAATAAATTTAAAAAAAACAGGCTTGGATATAACTGTCGGAAATGCAAGATTCCTGAAACTGCTTTGCACAGCTATCTAAAATTTTCTGTCTTCAGCTGAAAGATTCATGAAAAATAAGTGCAAAAAAAAAAAAAGAAAAAAAAAAGGCACGATGACCAGACTTGTATTCCTGCTTTGTTGCCTAGGGCAGGGAGAGATTTTAAAACATCCACATAGTCATGAAATAGGATGTCTAGTGATTATGTGCCTGCATCAATGCAGTCCACGGGCTGCCTGTAAATCCCAAATGCTCTTAAAGCATGTAACATCAAGACCCTTGGTCAATTTGTATGCCAAGTCTCAGGCCCACGGTGGCACTTGAAGGGCAGACAGGATACACAGCAGCAGTTGGGCCAAGCCCCAAATAATACAAAGTCTTCTTAGATACATTGCTTTCTCCTCTAATAGAATTCAAAGCCCACACAAGCCTACACTATGTGGCTCCATCCAAACAGCCTAAGCATGAGAACACCGAGGGCTCTGATGCAAGCACATCCAAACAACATACAGAAAACACCAGCTACATGATATGTCTCAGATGAGATGATTACCCATTATTCTGTCTGTAAAGTGGCAATGGAAATATTCTGACAAAACTCCTAGGAAAAGCCCTAATATCCGTTTCTTGAAACAAATATCTTTGTTTATTTCTTCTTTCATTCCTGAAACATTCAAGAACTATTAACAGACATGCAACAAGGTTGTTTCTTGTCACGAGGGTTTCAAGCCTAAGCCAGTATGTCAAACTGACACAGAGATACTGCAAAACCTTTTCATACCTCCACCATAAGTTTGCAAAAACTTTCCTAATGAAAGAATTTGTCCAGAAAGAATTCCACACAAGTGAAGATGATGCTTTATGTTCAGTTATATTGGACCTTAATTCATTATCAAATTATAAGGAGTTGACTAGCATTTAAAACTATTATTTCTTCTTATAGCATTTCATGTCTATTATTTGATACAAGTGTCTTTAATCCGGGAATTAATAAAGTTTTGATTTATTTTTGCATTTGGATCTATTAAATTCCAGTGAATGGAATCACATTCCTACATGGGCTTTGGCATTTTGAAAACCCTGTAAAATTATGGTTGAATTATTTATATATTAATTCAGTATTGCTTCTAAGGCACTTTAATGTATTCAAATATTTTTGCCAGATTTACATAGCCACCTCAAAATAAAATTTACAGTCAATCACCCATTTTGGATGGTGTTCCTGACAAAATTTTCACAATTGCTGAACTCTACTAGTCTCTTAATTGGAAAGTCAAGAACCCAGTGCATGTTACATATTTTGAAGATGCATCACATGGAATAAAGAGCCTTAAATGTTTCCCAGTTATCTCAAGAAAACAATCATTATAAAGTATTAGGTGTGTAAATGCTAGCAGTTCCATAAACAACAAAAATCCTCTGCTAATTATAAAACGCTATATTCTTACAACACATTTCACACCTCTTTTTTTCAGAATGTTTTTCATATTGAAAGTCTGAACAAAACTTCACAACCTGGTACCCTGTAAAATAAAATGTGTGCAGCTATAATTAACTATTATTTTAATTTTGTTTTCACCATTTACCTGTTTTCAGATATAGTCAAAGTACTGCTTGCAGAAATAACAGCTGCGTTGGCAGGCAGCGTAGGAGACTTTGAAACAAAATAATCCCACATTGGTGAAAATGTTTCTCTGGCTAGCGTATAGTTGCCAGTCTGATAGGCTACCTACAAAAAACCAAACCAAAACAAACCAAAAAGTTTAGCAAATTTTCATGTTCACTAAATAACCAAGTCAAATTTTATTATAGTATAATATTCTTAATATTCTTTTAAAACCTTTTTAATTTTTTTAAATTCCCTCCCAACACATAAATTTACAATTTCTGTAGAATATTCTGATATATTTGATTAAAACACATGCAGTAGCATTCTGATTCTACTAATATTGGTTTGCCTTCAGAATTAGTATCAGAGAAGGCAAAAGAGTTTCTTGACTGTTAATCAAGGATCTAATGGCTCTGTGTGGAATACTGTACAGGTATTTTGCTCCAATTTTTGAAGGTATATTATTTCATCTAGGTTGATTTTACTTTTGCTAATACTGCATAATGCCCTGCTGCTTTGGATAATGGGATGCAAACAGAGCTACATAGGGTAGGCCAAAATTCATGTGGATACTTCTTTCTCCAGAAGATTTTAGGAAATCTAACTGTTCCCCATGATTTGATCAATAGGGCTAGACAATTTCACTTTTTTCCACACCACGATCTGTTTTAGATTTTCCTTATTAAGAAGATCTCACAGCCTTTGTGATCTTTGACAAGACACTAGAAAAATAATTTCAATATGAAAATGCTTGGATTAGATACCTCGTAAATTCAATCACATTTTTCATCTCACACTGTAATGACTAATGGATGATTTCTAGCCCTTGGTCTCAATCAAAATAATGAAAAAAGAAATTACAAAAAAGAACAAAGAAGTTAAATGCAGACTGAAAAACAGGAGGGGGGATAAGAAAACTAGCTGAGAGACATCTTTCTCTTTAAACTGGAATTTCCAATAATTTTGAACTAAGAATTGAGTTACTCAATTTTACCATCTGCTATGTTGAAATTGTGATTTGTGCTTACTAAGCTTTTGGCAAGAAAGTCTTGAGTTTTTACCAGATGAAGTTTTAGAACTACCAGTGAAAACAAGTAATTACAAACAAATGGAAGTATGTCTTTATTACCAAAGACTCTAACCCTACCTGCGTTAGATAGGCTCGAACAGTAGTAACAGAAAGAGGTGGATAAGCAAGGATTGGCTTAGTCATTTCCCCAATGGCATCACCAATAAGTTTTCCATCCGAAGAATATGCCGCGACTGCAAATATGTATTTTTCATTGGGATCTAAGCCTTGTATTTCCAAGAGGCTTTTCCCATCAGCTGGTATCTATCAATAATAATATATTTTTTAATAACATCGGTTACACCCAGTGTACATATCAAAACCAAATCTCAAATGTTAAACTTTTATCATTAGACTGTTTAATGATCTTGGATACAATCAAAATAAACAGACATGTCATGTTTCCATGTAATATTAGATTATTGAAGACAATGAGAAAATAATGAAAGCACAGGGACAAAAAGTATCAGCTTTCTCTGGAATGCAGGTGAGTATACATAGCACATAACCTATGAAAACAGCTAAGTACCAGGATGTGGATTTTCTTGAAGACACTTTTGTCCATCTGCACCTTCACACCATGAGTGTCCACAGTTGCAGTCATGGAGCTGGAAACATTCCAGCCCTGAGCTGTGCTTCCAGAGAAAGAGCATGCGGCTCCCCTCCATACATGTCACATGCATGTATTAGATATGGGCAGAGGATGTCTCAGGTCCTCTCAGCACCATTGACCTGACTTTGGAGTTCGTGAAACAAACAACATAAGTTTCAAGAGCTTCTCTTCATTTTTTCTTCAAGTAATTGTCCACCTGCACTTTAATACCACTGCTCACTCATTTTCTACCTTGCCCTCTATAGCCAGGACAACTAACACAAAAGAAAATGTTAAGGTCTTGGAACAAAAAACAACTGACACAGTGACAGAAGCACAACATGAGAAACACGGCCATCACAATGTAGCATTAATATAGTGCTCCTATTCAAATACTTCACAAGGAGACCTCTGAAAAATAGAGTTCCTTTGAAATGCTGGACATGAATCCTGAACTAGCAGACTAGAAATTAATATAAGTCAGTCTGTAGTATCCCTTTAAAACAAATTTTTCTCATGTTAGCAAGCTGATAGATCATTCCACCAGAAAGAATTCTAAACCTTTTCCACAGAGCAGGCAGATCGTGATATTCTACAAAAGCAACCAGAAGTTCCACTGCTGACGCATATGGCTAACCTCAGCTCTGTGCACCTCTAGTGCCTGCCAGGGCTGAGACAGCCAGGGTCTGGCATGGATTGCAGCAAGTTCACAGAAAGAATAGCGGACTGAAAGCCTCTGATGAAACAATTCACCTGGAGCAGGGTATTATATTGAAACTAGTTCACTGGACATTGCAGAAAGTTTGATTCTTTGGATTTGATAATAAGAATATTAACAATAGTATCAAAACCTCTATTGCCAGCAGGTACATACACCCCTTTTTGTACCTCCTCTTTCCTAGGGAGGACATTTAAGAAGAAATAGCTGATAGAAATTACAAAATTAAGAAACATACTAACTTTTATATGTTTAGTACTTCTCTTTTTCTTTTAATCCTTGGAAAGAGTAGCGTCTGCGACACACTCTATAAATGCAATATATACTTTGTCTCCCTTTTGTATTTATTAGATATCACTCAAGAAACAGAGTTGTAACAGAAGGGACAGAGACTTGTCTAACATGAAGCTTTTGAATAATTTAGTTCATCATTCAGAAAAGGCTCCTAAAATTTCTTTGGGTTTTGGTATGCCTTCAGCCTAGCAAAATTACAACTGCTTAAAATAAAAAAAAGTCAAAGGCTTGGCCAGTTGTCTGATTAAAAATATATATCATATATATGTTTAGAAAGTTAGGATTTTTTTAAGGAAGATAGAATGACCTCTGTCTTACCTCTTCTCCTGCATTTGGAAGTTTATTGTTATTTAACCTTACTTTCGTATTACTTCCTCCTGCTACACAGCCCAAAATACTGTACCACGAAACCTTTGAAGAAAATAAAAACAAAATGAGTTAATAAAAGGCATTTCCAACTTTTCCCTAATGTAGAATGCACTCATTTTGTGAAAACAGTCTGTGGAAAAAAACAACCTTAGTTACAAAAATGAATCTGTATAGTCTAACCGCGCAAGAAATATTAATTAATTGGTTTAGCTGGACAACTAGTTATACTACAATGGCAATAAAAGCAGATGATTCTCCATTATCCTGTCTCCTCCTTTGAGCTATCTTATACTTCAAACCTAGCCCAAAGGTATAAATCCCATAGATCTAAAATCATCTAGATCAATTACTTGTTCCTTGCAATGATATTCTCCTAAAGCTGATGTCAAGTTCTGACCCAGAAAACTGCTTGAAGTTAGATCCCTAAAAGCAAGCAACAGAAATATAAATATGAAGCAACACAGTAATATTTTCTAAACAAGCTATGTTCTTAATTTCTGTTGAAATCAATATTTTTTTAATGCCATCAAGCTGCTAATGATTTTATTGGGTATATCAACTGCTTTTTAATATCTTTAATCAAGGAAGATCAAACATAGAAACTAATTTTGATTTCACCTCTGCAGAACTGGGGGTGTGGATTTCAGTAAATTATGCATCTTATAAAGTTTCCCTTCATTGTTCAACTAAAAACTGTATTAAGTCTCTTTACTTTCAGTAGATACTTAAACAGACCTGAGGTTTGGCAGATGATGTCATCTTTCAACAGGTAAGAATTCTGTATAGCTAAAAAGTTTATTTTTCTTGTAATATATATGATTTGTCTGGCAATGAATTCTGACTGGTTTTCAGGAGGAGTTATTGAAATAGAGGAGATGAGAAACTCTAAGATCAGGAAATTTTAGAGATACTTTGACTTCTAATATAAGAACTATATATGTTTAATTAAACCCTAAGTATCCATTTCCAGTTAACAAGTTCTTCATAAAAAATATGTGTCATGTCCACTTAAGAGCTATGCATACCTTTGGAAGAAAAAAAAATTATTCTTATCTGGGCTCAAATTATAAGATTAATAATCATACTGCTCCATCTAGTGGCCTGATAGGTTACAGTCACTCTCCTGTCTCAAACAAAATGAAGTATTAACACTTACTAAAACAGATGAACTACCAGGCTTTAAAGAATTACATTTTAATTATATGTTCATGAGGGATAAAAGGGAAGAATGTTTCCCTAATTAACTTCTTTGAATTTGCAGTAAATCTGCAAGTTATTAAACTACTGTTCACAGAAACATTCTTACCACTATTAAGATTTGAGATTCCACTGGTTTTATAAACATTATTTTTTAAGAAGCTTGCAAAATCACTATGAAAATTTCTCTCTCAAGAAAACTTCAGTTAGTAAATTCTTCATACTTCAGCCTGTTTGGACTCTTTCTGAAGACGAACATGAAGAAGAATAAAGTGATTTGAAACAGTCAGCACGGATTTACAAAGGGTAAATCACGGCTGATAACCATGACTGGCCTCTGTGACAAAATTAGTTCATTTGCAGAGGAGGGGAGAGGAGTAGATGCCATTAGCAGGGCACTTTCTTCAACACTGTCCCCCAGTATTCTGGACGATATAGAGTATGGGGGTGTGAACAGATAAATGGGTAAAACAGTGGCTGGAAGGTCAGAGTAGTTGTTAACGGTTCGTACTCTACCTGGAGGGTGGTAACAAGCAGAGCACTGCAGGGGTCTATCCTGGGACCTGTCCTGTTTAATATCTTTAGCAATGAGCTGAAGAAAAAAGTGAGCTCACATTCACTTGGATTGCAGATGATGCAGATGATGCCAAATTGAGGGAAATAGTTCAGGGCAGGATTGCTATTCACAGAGACCTAGAGAGCCCAGAGGAACAGACCAACAGGAATTTCACTAAATTTAACAACAAATGCAAATTCTTGCACTTAGGAAGGAAAAGTCCCTTGCAAGGATATACGCTAGAGACTGGTGGGCTGGAGACCAGCATTAAAAGGAACTGGTGGTCATGTTAGACAGCAAGCTGAACATGAGCCAGTGGTGTGCCGCGAAAGAAAAGCAATCTAAAAGCATCTTGAACTGTATTAACAGAAGTACAGTCAGGAGACTGAGGAATGTGATTACTCCACTCTATTCAGCACTCATTGGACTGCATCTAAATACCATGGCCAGTTTCTCTCCTGCCCCTATCATTCTAACAAGAAATGTTGAAGAACTAGAGTGATTACAGCAGAGGACGACCAAATGGTCAGGAGCTAGAGCACTAGGCCCATAAGAAGAGGCTGAAAGAGCTGGGCTTATTCTTCCTGGAGAAGAGGTAGCTTCAGGAGACCTACCAGGAGCCCTTCAGCCTGCAAGCAAGTAATGAAGAAGATATAGCCAGGCTTTTCACAGTAACACATGGTAGGAGGATGAAAAACACTAGACCTCAATTGAAGCAAGAGAGACTGCAACTGTACGTAAGGAAAAAAGTTTTCCCACAAATAGGTTGTCCTGCTGGAACACGTTGCCCAGAGAAGCTGTCTCATCTCCATTCTTGGAAGTTTTCATAACTGATTGGGTAAAGCCCTGAGCAATCTGATTTAATCTCACAGCCAACCCAACTCTGAGCAGAAGGTTGGACTAGATACCTCTCCTAAAATCCATTATGAACCAAGTAGTTCTGTAATTCTACATGGTCAACAGAAGGTAGATTTTCCACTTTAATTATGGCACTTCAGCACTTCATTAATAGAGGATTTGGTGTGGTATTTTCTTGCATCACAGGATGCAACAGCCTTGTGTCTCTTTAGAGTGTGTCAACTAAAAATATGTCAGCTCCTAAGCAAAAGAATGAGCTTTTGACAAGTAGAATGAATAAGTGTTATACGACAGAAGCACCACGAAACATGATGCACAAGATGAAAGTTTACGCAAATGTGAAGATCAAAACAGTGAGTCACAAATGACTCATGGGGGTGAGAGGAAGCACATTTAATTAACTTAGAATATCATAGTCTTCTCAAGAACAACAGAAATGGTATAGCATCATTGAAACAACTTTTGCTCTCTTGTGTATTGTTCAGCTATTATATACAGTCATCATGAAAAACATTACCTGAATATCTGAAGAGAATGGGGCTGGTTTAAATGTCATGGAGCAATGTGATCTAGAAAGTAATAGAGGAGGAGGAGGAGTCTTGGTTTTTTTCTTGCTGCTAATAGCTTCTTTGAGACTGTGATACAATGCACTTTGTTCAGCTTCAACTTGCTCAATTAAAGTTAGTGCTTCCTACAATTTGAGTTAAAACAAAAGGGAAAAACTATTAAAACATAACAGACAGATTTAACACAGTTTTCAAAATGATCTTAAAAACTTCACTGCTGTGTAGACAACTTGTATCTATTTTCATATCATCTTACATCCCAAATTAGGATGAATTACTTTGTGTAAGCCTTGTATATGCAGATTAATTTTGCAACATACAATAAACAGAATGCAGAGTTGCATATGAAAGAGGCAGGAGTGAGGCATATCCAATTTTGGAATAATGTATAGGAAAAAAAGAGCATTCACAAATAATGTTGTCTAGCAATTAGTTGATTAGCTCCAACAAGTAACAAAAAATATATTACCTCGTATTTAGGACAGAGCTGGAGACTGAACCTGTGGTATTTCTGAATGAGCTGTGGAAGTGGTTAAACTCATTTTCTGTACTCCAGAAACAGAGGAAAGAAAGTAAATCCAGAAATAAAGAAGAGGGAGGAGAATGCAGGCCCAGAAAAAGTAGGGCTAAGACACTTCCCTTAGTTAGTTGGAGAGAGCTGAGCACTGACTGCAATTTATCAGTGTCTTCCAAAAATTGAGGGGGTCTCCTGCACATGATGATTATGTGGCCACTTGGTTGGAGATCAGGGTATATGTTTTTCTTACTGGCCTGAATGCAAATTGCTAGCTTTCGTCACCTTATTTGCATTGTCATGATAATAGAAACTTAACTTGGAAATATATTAAGAATAGAGTACTTTTATGTCTTTACTTGTGGCAGCTATCCAGTGCAAATGATGGCCAAAAAGGTCGGCTCCCAGAGATGAAGAGATCAACGATGCCTTGGACAAATTACATACTTTTGGGAGAAGAGAGAGATATATTCCTACAACTAGCAGTTTATTTGAAGTCTTTTAGTACTATACACTGGACCAAGAATTTAGGCTGAACTGAGCCTAGAAGATAAACTGAAAAAGAAAATCCCAAGTTATTGGTTGTTCAATGACAGTCTTACAGTCTTGCACCTTAAAGTTCCTTGTTTCTGTTCTCATGCACTTACAAGGCTATAACAGCAACCATACCAAGTCAGATCAAAGACTGAATAAGCCTTGTACCTCACATCCAAAAATTACCAAAACCCAGCTACAGATTTATAGTGAGATGAGGAGCCAAGATTCAATAAAGTCTTAATCATATCACATAGCTAATCATTTGCACAGCCCCTCACTTCACCCCATTCCTTCCCTCTATAGATCAGGGTTGCATCCACCCTAGCGAGATATGTTTAAGGAAGGATATAAGATTTAGAGCAAGATATGGAGTGAATCCCTCACACACCCATTCAACTTTTGCAATCAGTAATTAGAAACTTCATTGCTTTCTTTAAAACTATACTTCTTTCTGGTAAGCTGTACTGTGATACAATTTTTAACTAAAAGAATCACAGATTCACTCTTCTCTTCTTAATAGTGCAAGGATGGAACTGCTCCCAAGTTGGACAGTGTTGTGACTGAGAGCGGTACTGCATGACCTGTACTTCATTAATTGTAGAACTTGGTAAGATAATAAATGTGACAGCATTGCAAGAGGGGAAAGAATAATCTCATGGTTGAGGAAGCCAAATGTCACTATAAAAAAAAGGCATTTTATCCCTGCTTCTGCCACAGACTTGCCCAGTGATAAACTACATTTTATCCGTGCCCTCTGACACAGACTTTCACTATGGTATTAGCTTAATCACGTTAATTCAGTTTTAGAGCTGGCCACCAAGAACTACCAGAGTACCCATTTTGGTAAAGACTTGGATGTCCAACTAGACATAAAGGGCAAGGAGAAAGAATAAAACACCTGTGAGGAAAAAAAAAAAAAGAAATTAAGGGTACACAGGAGCTCAAGTAGTCAAGCAGTGTGACATATGTAAGTATGTACATATGACTCAGAAGCTTCCATAACTGCCGGTGGTTTTCTGCATGACAAAGGGTTATTTGTGCATTTCTCAAAAAACAAAACAAAACAAAACAAAACAAAAACTTTCTATTCTGCAGCCTAATAAGAACTGACATATATTGTGCTGAGTACAGTAGAAAAATCCAGAAGATACAAGTAACTCTATATAGACTTTTTGGTGTTCTATGATGAAAAAGGCAAAATCCTCTATACAGAAGCATGAAAATAAAGGTATGGATTTGCTATTCCTAAAGCAAACATTGGCCATTTCAAAAAGGAAAATTAATTGAGCATGTAATTAAAATTTCATCATAGTACAAATATCAAAGAAGATCATGTGAAGTTTGCCCAGGCAAACTTAATTCTGACTTTTTCAGGCAACTGTCTGAAAATATATTATATTATTTTACCTACATCTTTCTCTATGAAAAGTCCACAGAAGTAAAATACAGTAAAGGTCAGTATAAGGCCTTTGCAAATATTTGCTTGGGAGAACAACACATTCCTTGGGAACTGCTTGTAAGTCTTCACTAGTGACTACAGTTACACCTTTCATACCATATCACTACATCTTATATTCATAAATGCCACACATCTTGCAAATATATGAGAGCGATTTTTAGTGTATGTCTTTTCTGATCCAGTTCTTGCATTCTTCAGTATCATAGAATCATAGAATGGTTTGAGTCCAACTTCCCTGCAGTGAGCAGGGATACTGCTCGGAGCCCCAGCCAACCTGACCTTGAACGTTTCCAGGGATGGGGAATCAGCAACTTTCCTTAGCAACCTTCCATTTTTGTAGCACTTAAAAGAAAAACACTTATAGTAATTCCTTGTTCAAGATATCATTTCATACATAGTGAGAATTGCAGACTATGTTATCTGTTGTACAGGCCATAAAGAAATTTTATGCCCCACTAATGAGAAGGCGATTTTCATGGACAGATGCTAGTACAAAGCGTAATAGAAAGACTCCCATTGATTTCAGAAGACTTTGAAAAAGCCCATGAAAAATCTACTTTTAGCCTCAATAAATTCCAAAATCTCCAACTTCTAAACTGTTTATTCAATAAGAATAAAATAAAGTCCATGTCATCATCACCAGCCAATCTAATACAAATTAACTTACTAATCTTGGGAAAAAAGCATTTGAAGGTTACAATGGGGAGAAAGAAAACTGAATGACATTTTGATAAGGTGTAGGCCCACAACTGCGAAGTCTATGTGATTAAGTGCAGAAAGAAAGATCTTCTGTAAAGTTTCCTGCAAACTGCATGTGTGCACAACATCTGGGAATGTGCTCTTGCCTTGTTTTAAGTCATTTTATTCTCTCACCATAAGGAAAATTCTCAGGGAAAATTTGGCAACAGAAGGTAAAAACACCGAATGTCCCTCAAGTTCCTTACATTTTGCCCCTTTTTGTAAGAAGGAGTAATCCAGGTCTTATTTATACAGAACATGAAAAATTGTGATAATGATAAGGAATTTCTACCATAAGATTATTTTTTTTTATTACCTCCAGTAGCTGCCTTTGGGAAGAAGTGGTTAACTCATTAGGGAACTTCTGTGCAGCCTTTTGCATCAAAAAGATTGACCTGGATAGTTTATTCTTTTTTATTTTTCTCATTATACGTGCCTCTGTAAAACAGACATTTTAATATATTTATAGTTGAGAAGCAATAATTTATTATACTTCTAAAGTCTTAATTAATAAGTCTTACCTGTTAAATAATGGATATCTTTAATATTCTTCATATGAGACTTGCTAGACTTACAACTTCTGTCATCCTTTTCGGCATCTATGTGGGAAGGAAATCCAGAGTTATTCATTCGGACAGTTCTATTGAGAAAGGAGTTAATATGTAGTTTTGCAGTAAAGCTCTGCTCCATTTCATATTCTTTTCTTTGATTCAAGGAGAAGTTCTTGGACTGATCATGCCACTCAAATTATTCCACCCTCATGCTCTAACATCTTTAGCAGTTATACTAACTGCTAACAGGAGAAGATGGATCTTGTTTGATCATAGGGAGCAGTGCACAGGGAAGCTCTGCAGTATCAAATTAATACTACCTTTTAAAAGAAAAACAGAAAAAATAAAATAAAACCAAGCCAAAAAGACAAAGACAAAACCAAAAATATCAGGAGTGGGAGAATAAGTAGTGGTTTTTTCAGAAGTCATTTGGCAAGAGTGGGATATCTGCTGACTGGGAAGAGAAAAGGACAACTTGAGAGGTGTAGAAATTCAGATTACAAAGACCACTGAATAAAATATTCTAGTCATTCTCTAGAGAGAAAAGAGCATTACAGAAAAAAAATATCTGCAGAGCATGTCACCAGTTCTCCCTTACTGTCACTGTTGCAGTTTAATATTTTAACTGAAATACCACAACCAACTATCTACGAATCAAATCCAGCCATTGTTAGCAAAGTTTAACTCCCATCTCTTGGGTAGAGGTTAGAGTCTTGTATAATGCGTAAATCTAAATTCTGCAAATTCAGTACGTTATTTCTGCGGGTATGTGGCATACACACTGGCTAACACAAGCAGTTCTTCAGAAAGTAGATACTCCTTTATTAATATTATGAAATACATTAACAGAGGGATCTAATCAAGCTATGAAGATCATTTAGCTTTACTGAAACCTACCTTGTGTCATTTTAAGAAGTTTCACAGCCACTCTATGCTGGGCCTGAATGAGCTCCAAGTGTAAATCCATTACAAAACTGTTACCTGTTCCTGTCTCATCTTTACCACATTCCAAAATAGAATTCCAATTCTGATCATTTGAGTCAACCTAATAAATAAGAAGTGGCAATTAAGCAAGCACAAATTTTATTATTTAGCTTACTGCATTTATCTTGACATTAATATTATTATTTCAGTAAACGGACAAACACTGAAATTTGTCATATCTTTGTAATATGGATTCATTTAAGAAAGCATGGAAAGAAGGAGAATGACTAGACAGAGAAAACATAGATAACGGACAAAGAAAACTAGACAAACCTGAGAATCAATAGGAAACCAGTTTAATAATACAAATATGTACAAAATACAAAATGCTGAAAATTTTGTGTTACTGTGCTACAAATCTGCAAAACAGAGATAATATTGGTGTAGAATGCTAATATTTAGAAAATATCAACTTCCCTCAATAGAAAAAGAACCCTAATTTTAAAAATAGAGTTGCAAGCAAAAAATATGAAAATGATTTCTGCTTTTATTTTATTTATATAATGCTAAAATTTCTAAGTATGAAGAAAATGAGTGTTGTGTCATCAAAATCTAATATATTATTTGTAGATTTAGTTACAGTGTAGCTTTTTGTAAACTTTACCTTTGTAGTGTTGTCAAATATCGACTTTCCATCTGGTACAAGGGTCATTAAGCGAGATGTGTTCATTCCATTAATTGCTTTCTCTAGACTTTCATAAGCAACTTGTAATTGTTCTGTAGGACTTTTCTGAAATGAAAACACATAGAAACATGTTCTATTAGCTAATGACATTACAAGCTATAGTATGGGCTATCAAAAATAAAGTGCTATTATTTTTAGCTGTTGCAGCTTAAAATCTGTCAAATAATCTTTACACAAGCACATCTCATGCTTTCAAATACCGGTACCAATGTTTGAAATTTCAAATAATTGTAATTAATTTAGGACTGATCTTCCTTCAGATCTCAAAAAAACAATTTACTAACTAGGAGTTAGCTTATAACAGAATGAAACTGAACTTAGAGAATTAAATTGACATGGTATTTTTCTTAAGCAGTTTTTCGATGTTCCACTAGATGCTGTTAAGAAAACACTTATTTTTCAGAAAACACCTTGAAGTAGACTGTTGCTGAATTAAATCTTATCCATGTGTTTAAACACTAAGTCATATCACTGACAGAATTCCAGAATCCACAGACTAATATATGTCTTTTCCTCTTAATGTGTTTTAGTAAGCAATTTTGAACTATTTGACTGGACACTTCTGCAAAGTGCTGAACAAAACACAAGCAAAAGCATAACCCAAAATATTTTCCTAAATGAAGCAAGGATTGAAGTTTGTATGATCTTTAAAAAATGCACTATTGAACCATTTAAAGACGGTACTATGCACTGGCATAAAAAAAAAGTGTACAGTGGAAATCAGTATGATCACACTGTAAAAAAAGTTTCAAATAAAACTGTTTCCATATCACAGGTTACTAAATATTACTGTAGAAAAAGTTTCAGATTTTATTTCATTTGAAAAAATATCTTTGCTTTTTTCCTCTGCACTAAGTGTGATTTTTGAAACATTTCAGCTTTATAAAACCAAATGCAAAACAGTATGAAAAGCTTCAAGCAGAAATACATGTTCTCATGCTATTCAAAAGCACCACATTAATGAAAATTAATTATACATTACCATCAGTATTTCAGGCATATGGCAGATTTCGTCTTGGGAGACAGAGGCACTTCCTTTTTCATAAGAAAATCACACAGTGAAAATGAAATACACTCAGAAAAGTTTAGTACCATTTAATTATCTCTGCTACTAACTTAACAGTCTAGCAATAATTCAGTTCTTCAGTATTTGAGAGTTAATTATATTGTTACTTGAAAAGGTTTTGAGAGTTTAAACACAGCAGTTACATATGTACAATTATACTAATTCAGTATATGATTATACAATAATGTCATATTTTAAATTTACCCTAGATTTCATAGCAACATTATATCCAACGCAACAAGACTTGGACTCTTTGTAGTTCCTCACATTGTTGTAGCATTCATAAAGATTTTCCATTTTTAAATCAATTCAAATCTATTATTGTCTAATTCACAGTGAGTTTAATGCTAACTTAACTTATAAAAAGATTTTTAAATATGTGAGGTCATATTTTTATGATACATACTATTTCAACTTAGGATTCCTTGAAGGGATATTATCACCTTTTTGACATTTGTGTGGATTCTTTAAATTATTTTCATTTACAAAGAATGCATACTTTCCAAAAGAAGAGAAAGAAGTTTCTTCGGTTTTGGTTACAGCCCTCTGGCCTGTCAATATTTTATTTTATTTGTTGCCTTTTCAGAGGGACAACCTCTTATTCATTCCTGTACTCCCTGTGCCACTTTTGCCTGTTTATTTCTGTTTGTTCACTGTCTCTTTCTCATAGATATGAGTATCTATATTCACTCAGCATTCATTCAGTAAAAAGACTCTTTTCAGCATAAACGTGTGCTTGACTGGCTATTTATCAGCCTGATTTGACCAATGGCTCCTATCTGTTCAACTTTTTTTCCTCCAAAAAGACATATTTAAGCTGAATGAAAAAGAATAGCAGTGATGCTAAAAAAATAATTCTTCCAATCTCCATCAGAAAGACATGATTTTCACAGCATCAAGACAAACAATATCTACTCTACTTTGATAATGAATAGCGGTGTTGCAAGACTTTCTTACTTTAAAAATAGCAAAAGGTATTGTCAAGCTCTTACATTCCTAAATATGCTCTAAAAGGGCCCTTAAAATCTGCTTTCTAGTCAAACATCTATGAGAACTATGAGTCATATTCCAAGACACTATATCCACAACAACAGAAAAATTTTAAAAGCACGTCTAAATATTCACATTTTACAACATTAGTCAGGTTTTGGAGGGTAATTTCTTTAATGTGGTTGTGATTGCATTATATAATGTCAGCCAAGTTAAGTTCAATTTCAAAGGCAACTGAATTCCTGTACAAAAATCAAGACTTGCGGAAACAAGAGATTCAAATTAATGACCCAATAAAAGCAAAAGCTTCAGTATGACCTTAATATTTCCTTCTTCTGTTTGGGCTGCTACTAGTCAATCAGCACTTGAATGCTCCAAATGAGCCACAGCACAGAGTCCTTCTGCCTAGCCAATATTCAGAGAACACAGGAGTGATCTGAGGCTATTCCGAAGGGGCTAAGAGACATGTAGAAGACCTACGGAGAGGGCGAGTTGTAAGAGATAAGATTCAGAATGGGATTACTTCAAGTAGAATTGGAAATGTAAGGAAAGAAGACCTAAATCCTTTGAAAAATAGAGTTCATTAGCTCCAATTATGGGTTAAATTCTACGTACAAAAAACTATCATTCTACTCTCAACCATCTCTTTAACTTTTGAGTATGTGTATTTGTCAAATTTTTCAACTCAGAAAAGTTCCAGCCTTGCCAGTAATTCTTGAAAAATCCCTAAATTTTTGTTGAAAGCTTTACCTGCTTTTTTCTTAGATTTACTTGCAGAATCAGCTATGTTTTCCAATACTGCAGTTAGACATAAGGTTACTTCTGCAGGCATTACAGCATTAGTATCTGCTATGCTGCTCTTCTGAATTACTTCATTTATTATCCAGAGTATATGAATCCACTAAAAATGGGTGGAAGGGAAAGAAAAACAATGAAGACAGAGTTAAAATACATTTTTGAAATATATTAATATATTAATATATATATCTCTTTAATTTGCATTAAAGAGATAGACGGGGTTTTGCACTCAAAATTTTAAAAAAGATTCAGAAACTTGGACTCAACTCCTCTCTTGGATTTGGCCGTTTTTATGAATGCCACCAAAATAAGATGCTGAATTTACATTGTTCTGAAGTCCCTATTTCTTCAGACTGCAGGTTTTTTTAATTTTAGAATATTATTTTTTGTTATTTTAGAAAGGTTTATGAATGTTCTGTAGACACAACTTTCATACCTTGTCATAGTGTGCTAAGCTTTCCAGCAGACTTGATCATTTGCCTCTGATTTATCCCTGTATCTTCCCTTAAAATCTACTTTCTAGTTAAACATCTATGAGAACTATGAGTCATACTCCAAGATACTACATCCACAACAACAGAGAACTTCTAAAGGCATATGGCTCCATTGGATGGGCCCAGCACAATTGACTCCCATTTTCCTTCTCTTAAACTGTAAGGTTTTTGCCACTTCTCCAACTGATACAGGCAACTTTCTTAAAATATATTGGTATTTTCTGCCACAACACACCAAATGCTGCTTCTTGCATCATGCCCAAATGCCTTCACTATTTTAGCTTTTTCTACCATGGCCCATTGGCAGAGAATGCATTACCTTCCTGGGCAAAGGACTTGATGATCACAGAATCATAGAATCATAGAATGGCCTAGGCTGGAAGGGACCTTAGAGATCATCTACTTCCACCTCCCACCTCCCCATCATGGGCAGGGACGCCTCTCAACTAGATCAGGCAATATTTGGCTGGCCCGTACGGGGATCGAACCCGCGACCTTGGCATTATTAGCACCATGCTCTAACTGACTGAGCTAATCATTTTCCCCTTGTCCTTAAAAGTCTCTTCCAACCAAAGAGATTCTGTGATGCTGTGACACGAGCATATGGGAGCATGGTGTACTCAAAGTGTACATACAATTCACATTTTCAGTGAAGGTTTATCAGCAGTTTCCCATAGAGAATGTACTTAGACAGTATACCAATATTATATCTTGGCTTTACTATAGCACCCTGCATTAATATTAAGAGAAATACATTATAATAAAGGAGTACTTGGTAAGCTTTGTATTTGTGGATGTATTTTAAGTAGTCACTTCCACTCATTTGGATTCGGTGAAGTCCAGTTTTACACTTCTGCCACAAAAACTTTATTACATCAACAAGTATTTCTTCGTCAGGCTGGATATTCTGGAAAGGAAAAACAATATCATTGTAGAAACAGGTATGTATATAAACATCATCAAAAGACTCACTGCATAAACAGTCTCAAATTTTTTTTGAAATAAATAAACCATTAACATATTTAACTTTCTTACAAGGGATGACAACATTTTGAAAGCTTAAGAAATATTTCTTTTAAGTAACTTCTGGTAGACCATCCAAGCTTCTCCCAAAAATACAAGTGGGTTTAGAGGTTGTTTGAGGTTTTTTTTCCTGTATTATTGTCAAGCTCTTAAAAGTAACACAGACAAGGAAAGCAGTAAGATTAAAATTACACGGGAGGGACAAGCAAATTAACTAACTGTGAAATGTTATAATAGTCAATACAGTCTGGGGAAACTAAGTAATGTAATTTAACAGTTTGGGGTTTTTTAATACAGTACTTTTTTATTAGAGCATTTAAATATTTGCAAAAGAAGGTGTAATTTAGTAGGTTTCCTTTTTCATTGACAGAGTACTTCTATGGGTTGTTGGTGCATCTCTGAGCATGGTGCTGATAACACCAAGGTCACAGGTTCAATCTCTGTTTGGTCCCCATGTGTTGCCTGATCTAGTTGAGAGGGGTCCCTGCCCAAGACAGGGAGGTGGGAGGTTGGATTAAATGATTTCTAAGGTCCCTTCCAGCCTAGGCCGTTCTATGATTTTATGATTCTGTGATTTCAGACAAGGGAGCAGTGAAGACCAACTTAAACAACTAAGAAAATGTTGGAGTGGAATATCTTAACTACTGAAAGAAATGATAAAACACTTCTGCATCTTGCAAAGACAATAATTAACAAATTCAAAACTCTATACAGTTAACCTCCTAATTAATACATTTTAAAAGGCAACAGAGTCCATCTACACTGTGTTAAATATATTTTGAACAGTGATTAAGGATCAGCACAAATCTTGATTGATATTTATACCAGAGTTGGACTAGTATCTCAGGTGCAATGAAACTCAAGCCTGCTCTATCCACATTATCTGTACACTCATGAGCTAAGATTTCAGGGATATTGATATTGAAAAGTGAGGTAAATAAAAAGACTGAAAAATATGCAAATCAAGATGACTTTTGCCACTCATTTGGTGGCAGCAAACTGTTAGATTAGCCTAGCTGTACCATGTAATTCCACCATCAGTGAATTCTGTGTTGATCAGAGGAGAATTTGTCTTTCTTCCCTGGACAGATTAGGTATTAAGGAGATTTGTGGGAAAGTGTAAAAGAACCAGAAGAGTTTAAATCTACATAACCTGTACCGATGATGCAGTGGTCATATAAAGAAAATAAAAAATCATGCTGTCTAAAGGTACACCTACCTCACAAAACAGATATTTTGACTGAAAATATTGCACTGAAGCCAAAATGTGTGTATCCCAGTTATGCTCAAACTGGGGCAATATCCAAATTATATCTAAAATAAATTTTGCAGTTAAGATTTATGTCATGTTAGAATAACAAGTTTTCTCTAAGGGAAATTTTTCATTTATCTTTTGGATCACAAACTGTTTAATGTAAATGTTAATGGAGACATCGCACTGTAATTTTTTTTCCCCTAAGAGCACATTAAGGTAAATCTCCATTTGAGCAAGTAAATCAAAAGTGGTTTAGTCTGGGAATAAATGGAATTATTCTATAGCAGAGACTTCAGCACAAAAAGTCCCGCTCTTTGGTTTTGTTGTTTACACTGTTCATTTGTTTGCAGTGAGAATTTACCTTAAATTTCAGGCATACCACAGGCATTCCTTAGGGTAACTGCTCCCATTTCTATAAATATTGCAGAAGTGTTTTCTACAGCTGAGCATATTCTACAGTTGAGCATCTAAATCTAATATATTTAAAGAAATTCAGTCTCTGCTTGGTTAGCTGAAATGTGCAAATAGCCCTGTGGTCTTCCAGACAGATTTAATATCTATTAAAAATTTACAGAGCACCAATTAAAAAAATGAAACAAACATTATTAAAAATTACAAATTGATCATATTTCATAATTTCTATATTTTTTATATTCTTGCAGTGTTTTAATCATGCAAATGATTCCTTTTGTCTTCAGTTACATACATTCATTACAGATTAAGTGATTCATTGAGAAGAAATGTTTCTAATTCTGTTACTACCTGCTTAGATGTGGAGACACAAGAAAACACGGTTGTTGCCAAAACGATAAGATCATGAGAAGGCTCTTCATGCTTTAAGGAACCTTCTACATTCAGTGTTTATAAAAAAAGGAAGAAAAGGAAAGACAAGGTGTTATTTCAAGTTACAAACCTATGTTTGAAAACATCTTAGTGAATTGATTTACCAATTTATGTAAGCAGATAATAAGGTCTAAGAAGTAGTAAATACAAAGGGGACAGATATTCCCAAGTTTATTCACTTCTGTGAAAAGTAAGCATTTCTGGTTTTGGAAGCAGAAAGTTTTCAATATATTTGCATGGTTTTGGAACGTTATAGAATTTAACAACAGTTGCTTTAATAAGTGTTTTTTCCTTCCATATCAAGAAATTTTACATAAATTAAGTACAAGGAATACACAAAAGTAAGACAAACATATCTGTTTCACTTTCTTCCTGAAAACCTGGCTGAAAATGTCCATTCATTTTGCACTCTTCCATATAACTCAAGTGTATGTATAACGTACACTTGAGGGAAATGGTATAAAATCATGTTTTGGCAAATGAGTAGTAGACAAAATTCAACAAGTGGCAGTTTCTCATGTAATAGATTTTATCATAGAATACTATGTGTATCATATAACATAGTTTTTAAATAATAAACAAGTTTTCTTGCTACAAAAATATCAGAAATGAAAACACAGCTACAACTCAACAACACTCACTTCTGAATGTTTGCTTCTTTTCAGAACCCTGAGAAATACAAGTTTCCTTGGTATCATTTTCAGTAATAGAAACACTGTGTTTCAATTTTCCTGGATACAGTAAAGGTCGCATCAGTGTAAGAAGTTTGAGTTCCATTTCAGCTTTCTTAAATGTTGGGTCATCCTGAGTCTAATTGTAATAAAAAAACAACAGAAGTTTGCCTTAAAAATAAGTACTTTGAATATTCTTCCTTACTCTCATGGGAAAACACTGTGTAAAGAATGTCTAAATTACCTGAAGAAAACTAACAACAACTTCAATAGCAGAATCAAACACGTCCCACTCTTCATAGCTGAAAGCTAATTTTACGAATTTCACAGCAGCATCTCCAGATATCCCTTTTTCTCCTGCAGTGATGACAAAAATACTTTATCTGTTTGTATATATATATATATTCAGAAGTTTAATTTAATTTAATTTAATAATTTGCGTATTAAGAAACACAAAGTTAAAATTCCATGGTTTTGAACAGTCAGCATAATCTTGAGGGATGTTTAATTGCTGTAGAAGATACAAAATCTTTATTATTTTGCTGTAATGTCTATGCTTACCTACTACCTTAATGATGTATCTGCAATGTCCTGTGACATTTCTAAGAGGATACACTATAATTGATATTAACGCACCTGTGTAGAGAATATCAAGGATCTACTCATTCCTGTTGCAGAAAGAGCTTAAATCTGGGTATCATCATAATAATGATAAATTTCTTACCAGAAATTTGATTTAATAAAATACACAGAAGCATGAACAATTTCTTGCAAGATAGGTGAATATTTCTCATTACTGTATTAGAAAATATGCAGGTAGACACACAGAGTCTATTTTCTCACTTTTCACGTTTATCCAAATCACAGTAAGGCAGAAAAGGGGTTTCCCAGTCCTTGGAACTCTAGGCAAGTGAGTATCTTAGTAAATACACTCAGCAGTGCTCTGCACTCCTAAGAAATATGACAGTCATCGTCATATCACCTGGGCACATGGTCACTCAGCTAAGAGGAGTTAGCAGTACTAACCTAGTAATAGAGCTGTTATTTTCCAAAGCAGCACAATGATTGGTCCAAGCACCTCAACAAGCTTATGGCAGTGCTTCTGTTACTGCTTCCCACTTCTCATTCATAAGAATGTACCAGGACATCATTACAGAATTTGCCTTTTGAATGACTGTTTAGGGTCATTAACATATCTAGATGAACTGCTATGTTGAACAGTAGGTGATTACAATGTCCATGTGTTGCTATATGCTATTTAAATCCTACTCGTGTTAAGAAAATCATTACTATATCTGTACATAATCCCTTTTGAAGGGATTATGTCTTAGCATTATATGTGCAAACAAGCATATATCATGTAAAGAGGACAGCATTTTGCAGTCCCTTTATGCATAGAACTGCTACTAACACGAAGGTTAATTCTGCTGAACAAGCATTTGCATCACTGGGTACAGACTCCTTTGAAAACTTAAAGTTAACTTACCTGTTAATATCAACTGCAGCAGAGTTGACGATGTATTAATCATACCAAAACAATCAGTGGAAGGACTTCCTTGAACATCAGTACTGCTCACTCCACCTTTAATAGAGACAATTCTTAAATCATTTTATATTGTATTTGACTCATTATGTTCCAATTAGCCAGTAATCATATCAAGAAAATATGATTCTTAAGTGTATTTAGTCTCTCTATATCCTTTCATTAACAAAATATCTCTGTACCTATAGCTATATTCAGTCCAGAGACCAGCAAAAAAGGATTGGAAGGAATCATTAAGTCCAGTGCCTTTCTCAAGTTTTAAATCTAACTTTCAGTGATTTTTTTTTCTTTTAATAAATGGAACACCCCTGCCTAGCTTCCAGACTCTGATCCAGCTGCTCTCTCACTTCCCGCTCCTCCACAGGACAGGATGAGAAAATAAAACAGAAAAGCTCATGGGCTGAGATAAAGACAGTTTACTAAGAAAAGCAAAAGCTGTGCATGCAAGCAAAACATACAAACAAAAAAAAAAAACCTAAAAGAAATTTATTCACTATTTCCCACAGACAGGCAGATACCCAGCCACTTTCTGGAATGCAGGGCCTCAGAAGAGTAGCAGTTGCTGGAGAAGACAAATGTCATAACCACTAATGTCCCCCCCTCCTCTCCCTTCGCCCCAGGTTTTATTGCTGAGCATGACATCCTATGGTGCGGAACAGTCAGTTTGGTGAGCTCGGGTCAGCTGTGCCAGGCACGTTCTCTCCCAATCTCCTGCCCACCCCCAGCCCCTTTGTGGGGAAGGTTGTAGAGACAGCCTGGATGCTGTGCAAGCACTGCTCAGCAACAGCTAAAACACTAGTGTCTTACCAACAAATACTGCTTTAGCCACAAATGAAGGCACATTTTATCTTGAATTTTTATCTTAAATGTTAATCTTAGATTTTTATCTTAAATTTTATGAAGGAAGATTGCCTGCTGTTACAGACATTATTGTTATAAATGAAATACATGTCTTTGGGCAAGTTCCTTCTTTTATAGCAAATTAAAAAATTCTAAAACGGAGGTCTGAGCTCTTCTTGCTTCTTTATACTGTTACCTGAGAGGATTTCCAGGCCTGCAAAAAAAAGCTCTGAAATGACATTATGAATTTCAACTTCATCAGGAACAGGTGGAGCAGGGTGCAATACACGCCTGTTGCTATCAGACAGAGCTTCCAGGATGGCGAGGAACTGAGCTGCAACACCGTCAAACATTTCTGTCAGCAGCTGTTCAGTAGCAGTGCGAGGCCATGGCAACTAAGAAAGAAAAGATAATGTAAGCCTTGTAAAATCTAAACCAAGTTACAATAAAGCAAGTTTTCTTTCAAAACAGTTCTCCATCAGAACGTAAGTACATGTTTCAAAGTGAAAAGAACATACTGTAAAATATATTGTTATGAATTTCAAGCTTCAAAGGCATAGCAATGCCTCATGCTAAGTGGGTACAGTGCATAAGAAGTGTCATAATTTCCTAGCAACCAGATGCACTGCTGCATGGTGTTTTACTTAGAAATCAATACAATAGAAATTATGAGTGGGAGTATTAAGATCTTGGAGTTTAAAGCCACACAGATCTTTCCTCATAATGACACAGACTTGACCATAGGGAGCTAAGTTCTACCCACTTTGCAGAAAATCAGAGAAGGATCAGAATGCTCAGCACTGCAGTGAAAGCAAAACCTTATTATATTCTCTAACTTGCACATTTCAAAGAGCATAACATAAAATACAAGGCAGAACACACACAAAAATATTTGCGCTATTGACAGCTAAGAAACTGGAGACCTAGAAAGAAAAATACTTAAAAATTTTATTTCAATATTGTGCTTACATGGTTAGCAAACCACCACCAGACATAAAGTAAATCAGAGACACAGTACTTTAAAATATTGCTTATAATCCATCAACATTTCAGTTCTATTTGGCATTTTCCCAAATAAAAACACTTTATATCAATTTCTAGGTGCATTTTACTAGATAAAAATCTGAGAATCTCCTTTGTGCTTTGCTGGATCCATATCCTTTATTTTAGCTTCCAAATTAATACTTACAGACAAGCTCAAAAGTGTACCTGATGTGAAAAAAAATAGATTGATCTGTTCTATATCTGACAGCATTTAGAGTACTAAAGCTGAAGTGTTACTTTTGTTTCCAAATAACACTTAATGAGCAAGACTCATCAATACTAGAACTATCTTTTCCAGAGAAAGAGGAACTATTTCTGCTGGTAACATAGTAAAATATATTTGACACTGGATACTGATGGAGCAGCTAAGTCTGGAAACCATTTTGAGGCACATGAAAGACAACAAAATCTGAAGTAGACAGCACAGATTCATGAAGGGAAAGTCATGTTTGACCAACTTGGTACACTTCTATGCTGAAATTATTTGCCTGGTAGACTAGGGAAGAACAGTGGATGTTGTCTGCCTATACTTCAGTAAGTCCCTTCACACTGTCTCCCGTAACTCTCAGCAAGTTTACACACAACTCAAAACTGAGACGAGTAGTTGATATGCTAGAGGGTCATGCCACCATCCAGACTGATAGGAACCTCATGATGTTCAACAAGGAGAAGTGCAAAGTCCTGCACTGGGAAGGAGCAAACCAATGCACCAGTACATGCTGGGAGGCCATCCAGCTGGAAAGCAGCTTGGCAGAAAAGCACTTGGGGGGTCTTGGTGGACATCAAGTTGAACATGAGCCAGAAATGTGCCCTTGCAGCAAAGAAGGCTGACAATACCCTTGGCTGCATTAGGCAAAGTTTTGCTAGATGGTAATGGGAGGGGATCCTTCCCCTCTACTGGTGAAGCCAGATATCTTCATGTCCAGTTCTGGGCTCCCCAGTGAGACTCATGGACATACTGGAGAAAGTCCAGTGAAGGGCCTCAAAGACATTCAAGGAACTAGAGCATCTTCCCTACGAGCAAAGGCTGAGAGAGTTTGGACTATGTAGCCCGGAGAAGAGAAGTCTCAGGAGGATCACATCCATGTATACAAATACCTGAAGGGAGGGTGCAAAGAGAATAGACCCCAGCTCTTTTCAGTGGTTCCCAGTGACAGGACCAGAGGCGATGCGCACAAACTGAAACATAAAAGATTCCCTCTGAATATCAGGAAACTTTTTCACTTTGATGGTGAGGACTGAGCACTGGCACAGAGAGGTTGTGAAGTCTCCATCCTTGGAGATATTCAAAGGACAACAAGCTTCATGTGGCCCTGCTTGAGCAGGGATTGGACCATATGATCTCCAGAGGGCCCTTCCAGCTTCAACCACTTTGTGATTCTGTGACGCACATTCTCTAAGCAAAATGGCTACAAACCAAATTTTCAACTTTTTTTAAATACTTATAATGATGTTTGCAGATTAAAAAAATCAAAGTAACCTATCCATTTGTTTTAATATTTTGTGTCATTGTATTTAATGTATCTTTTTCCCCACACTGCGGTTTTATTTTCATGAGCCCAATCTAGGAATCAGTTCTACGCAAGCAGGAAGCAATATACATATGTTCCAGAACAGGCTAAGCACAAATTGCAGGTTTTGTTTAAATATCTTCATTAAAATGCAGAGTAGAATGCAATTTAATAGTAATAATATTTTCACATAAGCGTTATCTTGTCATGTTTAGAAAACAAACATTGCACTGATGCAGAAGAATCTAAAAATGAAAGCTAACTTAAACTAAATAGATTAGACCAGTTTGTTTCCATCTCTCAAGGTGATTCAAGTACAAAACCAAATTCCACAAATACGTACGAGAAGGAAAAGTTATTAATTCTTAGTAGTCCAAACATAACGTGCTCTGTAACATGCTCCAAATATAACTGTTCTACCTGTTATACTACACTGCACTTTTTCTATAATTAAAAAGAAGAAATTTTTTTGAAAGTCAAAACATTAGGCAAAAATAAATGTCCAATATTCTCATGTTTACTTCACACTTAATAAACCTAAAAAGTATTCCAAAATAATTACTAAAACAGTCGTTTCAGATTTTATAGCATTCAACAAATCCTGTAACACTACAAGAGGCATGCAGAAACAAATGAAAATTCAATATAATTCCTTCCTGAACAAGGTAATGAAAACTGTTGTAGCATATTTTAGACGCAAAAGACTTTTGGTGGGGAAGTTATGAACAGTGTAATTTCTAACAATTTGCTGTCAACTTCAGGCATTCAGTTTTGTCAGAAAGTCAAACAGACACTGCAGAACAAAACCAATTACTGAAGATTTTTCAAGCTTCTGAAGATCAGATACATTAAATTCCTGCTATGTAACAGGCAGAGGTTCCTAGTAATATGAGAGATGCCTAATGAGCAAACACCCTATTTGAAAGCATGCTGACTTCCTAATAGCCTAATTGTTCAGCAAAACTTTTAGACGATCGTCATTCAGAAGTACTTATGTCTTCCAGAATCTATTGACCTTGAGAAAGTTGCTTGGTACCTTTATATGTGCAAACCACACAAACATCACAAGAGTGTCATAGTGCAAAGAGATCACAATCTTTTGTTTTCAAAGGTGCAAAGCATTCCAATGTGCAGGCAGTATTAGTAAAAGAGTGTGGTTTGGAGAGCTTGCTGATTAGTACTTTCAGTCACTCATCTCTGCCAGATTCCTGAGGGCCACTGGAGGAATTGAATTTATTTAAATCACAGTTGGGAGCAGTAGGAAAGTAGAACAACCATTCGTTCATCACACAGGGAACAACCCCTCAGATAGAAGCATCCTCTTCGGCACAGAGAAATCAAAACAGAGAACTTTCTATATTCTGTGGAGTCCTGCATCCAGCAAACATCTTGAACGCAAAAGACCTATCAACCTATGACCAAGAATGGATGATATAATCTAAGTAAGGTGCATAACTGTTATGAACCCACCTAGTAGCATAACGGCATAAAGATAAATTTAACTAATAAAGTTTGATATATAAAAGTCTGCATGATGACCAAAAAAGAGACAATGCACTCACACAAAAAAAGCATTTTCTTTGATTATTTTTACTTCTTACCCTAATGGATCACTCATTTTTGATACTGACTGTAAAGAACACAAGGAAAGAGTGAAATTTGAGGAAATTCATTACTTCCTTAAAAGCTTACTTTGTATCCTGGATGCTCTTCTCTAATGCATGGTGTCTTGCAGGAAAGTAAGTGGCTTCAAATATAATTTCTCAAGACTTAAGAGAGTTCTCCAAAGTAAGTACAAAAACTTAAAAAACATAGTAGCTGTTTTGAAAGCACCCCTTATCTTCCAAGTAGTTTAACATATAGGGCAAACTCAGGACTTCCATACACCTGGCATGAATTTGAGCAAGATTTCTCTTATTTTTATTGCTACCATAACTGCTAAAGGAAAAAATCAGTATTTTCCAAAGAAAGAATCACCGCATCTTCCCTCCTTTCAATTTGTTATGAGCTTTCATAACAAATTATGTTAACTCTGAAAAAGCATAACTTTCTCCTTGTGAATAGCAATATGTGTATTAAGCAGAATTATGTCACATATTCATCACATGCAAATAGTAAACAAAGAGAAGGATTATATAAAATGTTAGACTTACATTTTGTGCTTCTTTCAGACTAACTCTTAACTTAGGCCGAACCTGGGTTTTTGGCTTTCTTCTGGATTCATATACTGCTCTCTTGAAAATCAATACTGACATCTGACACAAAGAAAAAAGTAAGTAAATAACTGTTATGTGTTCTCTTCACAGAGATTGTAACTATCTATTTATAATGAACTGCAGATTAGTACCTTTAGAGTGGCCTCTCTAAAAATTTTTTTTGTCTCTGAATTTTCTGACGAAGAACTGGTATTTTCTAATTGCTTCAGTTCATCAATTTTAATCAGACCACGGCGAGCAAATACCTGTCCAAAGTATTAAAGAAAAAAAATAACTTTGTTTACATATGCTGTATGTTGGTATTTAACTTTAGGATCATATCATTCTTGAATTCAGACAACTGCAAACAGCTGCAGTGAAAGGCAGCTCATGAACAGTAATCAAAATGGAAAAAAAGCCTACGTAAAATATTTTTTGTATATATGCAGGGAGGCTAGAATTCTATGCTAGAATTCTATGCTAGAATTCTATTATTATGCTTGTATTACAAAGTACTATTGCATTTAACTTTGAATTGATTACTCATTTACATGTGGAAATATACCTCTACTCTGCAGTTAAATTTTGGAATATGAGCAGAACTCTAAATACATACAATCACAAAGTAAGTAGGAATATTTAAATAAATATTAATTTCCCATTTGATTGCATCTGAAATGCTATGTATGGTAAATCAGGATACCTCTCCATGAACGCTGGCTTGACAGTCAAAATAGCACTGAGAAACTGCAGCATACAGGGTGGCTCTCCAGGGCAAATAACGTACAGACAAGAGCGGAATGGATGATTCCATACATATACTGGCCCACAGCAAGTATTCCAGGACCTGTATTGAAGAAATTTACTTTCAAACTGAATGCATTTTAAGCTATATAAATATACATCCTGTTACTAAGGGATACATACAAAGACTTATCCTCACATGACAGGACAAATTAAAAGAGAAAGAAAGAAATTACAGAAATCATATTAATTTTTCACATTTTATTGACTACAAAATATTCCTCCTGCATATTACTGGGGGTTTTTTAACTTGAAACTGTGGTCAGGCATTATATACTAGCCTTGAAGGTACCTTAACCACTCCAGTTCACCATAGCCTTGCAACTAGATTGAGGTCCTGCCCTTCTCTCTCATCTGCTCTTACCCTGAGAGCTACCCCTTTCCTTGATGTCAGCTCTAGCGCTCTTTTTTTTTTCCTAAGTTAATTTTCAACTAGATCAGCAAGCTTATTTGGGTGCAATGGAGTCTGTCTTCTTTGCTGATAGCCTGAGCTTAGATTATGACCATGGACCTACACTAGATTAATTTATGACCATGGACCTACACTATCAACTCGACTTTAGGCCCAACACAGTCATTACAGCAAGCTAACTTTAAGAATTAAATTGATTGAACAATATTTTCCATTTGTATTGCCTTTGGGTCATCTTCCCCAAGGTACATAAAATATACACAACCTTAGTTGTAAATTAAGTCAATATACAGATTTTCTTTCTAGGTGAATTTAAAGAATCTGAAACACCTACAATCAATTCCTCTGTTTCCTTTATAGTAAAAGCCTGAATACATTCAAGAGAACTTTAAAATCTTTCCTGCTCAACCAAAGATTAATATAATCAACAGATCATATTAAATATATAAATAGAAAATACACTGGATTAAGGCTGAGTCAAACTTTATTCAAGTTTTAGGAGAAAAAAGCAAGGCTAAGACAAACGAAAACGACATTCATAGTTGAAAAGTCCAGGGGAAGACGACCAACTACCAAGTATTTGCAACTAAAAGCATAGCCACCAGGTGCCAGTACATTTCCACAGTTTAAGAAACAAAAGACCAATTCTTGGGACTTGCTATATTTGCCCCAAAATAAAGCATATAGAACCCTCTGAAACAGCCTAACACATCCCATCTCAGACACCAGCAAGACATTATACTGGGCCCCATTCCACAGCTGAGGAAGGAGCAGAGTCATAAGGCATGAAAGCTTAGAATCTGGCTTTTTTGCAAGCCTGATGTTTTATTCCCCTGGGACACAGTGCTACTATTGGCAATGACAATGAAATAGAAAAAGTACAGTGTTATGCAAGATACAGGTGCATTTTCCAATTGTCTGTAAATTTTTCAAATGTTTCTGATTTTTTTGCCATACCTTAGCAGACTGACCTATCATCATCAAATGTCTGCATATGGTGTAAATATGAATAGTACCTGCAAAAGTAAATGAAAATAAATAAAAATAGGTAAGTTATATAATCCTGTATGAATTTTTTTATGCTAACTGGAACTTTTTATTATGTGTGTTGTTATTTCCAGAGACTGAAAACCAAACTAATGATTTTTCTATAACTATTTTTAAATTAGAAAAGTTTAAGTCATTCAATTCTTGAGCGACACTAGCTTCAAAAATACCTACACAGTGAAGAAGTATAATAAAAGAATGAAAACTTAAAAATATACTGTATCAATTTTTTTTACTAAGTAACTGAGAGAGAAAAATCTTATTTTCATCCCCAAATGCAATCCTTTTTAAAATACTACCTCTCCTCACCAACCTTACCTCACATATTTCTTTTAGTCTGTCATGGCACTGTCCTGGCAGACAAAGTCACCATTATATGATATTAAGTATGATAGGTGAAATGAAGAAAATGTATTGTGACTAGAGTTTTCAAGAACATTAAAGTGACTTAACAAATAAAATCCTGTCAAAAATTTACTTAATTTAGGCTATGTCACAAAATTGCTTTTCAAAAATCAGCCCTGGAAGTATAAAAGGCATTTCAGTTCTGGAGGAAAAAAAAAAGTCTATTCTTCTGTCTGTACGAATGTTCAGAAAGGGACACCTGTGAGTGCAGTGGAGGCATCACAATGTCAACTGTCATCTCTAGAAGGGTGTTATGATCCCAATAAGAAACAATGGAGCAAGCATTAGGAAGATTTCTTTTTATCAGTTAAACGTGTAATGAGGCACTAAATCTGTTGCCAGAAATTGCAGAAAAAATTATCGGGAACTGAGGAAAATCTAAATTATTTCCTATTTCTAACTAGATCTCATTATTGGCTCAGCTTGATACAGAGGCCTGTACCACATCCGGGTACTGGGACATAAGAATGGCAAGTGAATATATTTTAATTCTTCTCCCACAGCAAAAGACAAGCAAAAAGCCACACCTCAAAAGTAGGGAATGAGAGCAACGGCAGTTCCAGGGAAAAAAAAAAAAGGATAAGAATTTTAACCAGCTAGAGCTCAGAGAAAGTAAATTTTTCAAAATTAAATTTAAACCAGTATCTCCTCAATTTATATTGCAATAAATTATCATAGTAGAATGAATTAATAATAGTCTTTTGAGTTTGGACTAAATACGATTGTCTTTTAAAGCACAAAAAGATTGTTGTTCTCAAAATAAAAATCTTGATACATTATTCTCTTTATACCTAGTTCACGGAAGTTCATTTTTTTCCTCAATTTTTTTTCCTAATTCAAGTATTTATAACTAGCAGACTAAAATCATATATAGAGATTCAGATTCTTGAACACCATATGGTACTTTTTTAGTTTTATTGACTCTACACTTAAAGACAATTTAAAAAATACAAAATGTCAGTCATTTTCTACTCTCAGATGTGCAATCCCATCTTCAACTACAACAACAAAAAAGCTTATTGTCATTTTATTGATAAAAAAATCCTGAGGTTGGTGGGTTTTTTAAATCAGTATTCACAGAACAAATGTCCTTACTATGCTGTTAGATTTCATTTTATTAGTACACTCGAACCATAGCTATGATGGAAAAGCCATTACTTTTACAGCATCCACCTGAAGAAGGCATGCTACGTAGGAACTTCAATTTAAAAATCCCTTATTTCAGAAAAAAAACACCAAAATTACAAAAACAACACCCTTACTGTGGTTGAAGACTAACTAGAGATTTATTCATGACCCTTACGGTGACTTTAAGAAATATGTGTAAAGTTTCTCTCGACAGCTCTGCTGAGCAAAGAAATGTAAATGGAAAGCCTGGGGTACCATTGTAGACAAGCCAACACAAATTCTCCTGAGGTAGAGCCACTTGCATAGTGAGTCGTAGTAAGGACAAGATGTTGAAACAAGTCTGCAGGGACTCTTGATTCTGGAGATTTCTGTCACTGCTGCAAACCACCTGATAAATGCAAATGTTTCTCTCTTGCAAAGCATGGAACTAAAACACATGGAAACATACATAGAATTAGTATAGAATCATAGAATCATAGAATCATAGAAACATAGAATCAGCACAATTCAGGTTGGAAAAGACCATTGCGACCATCGAGTCCAACCATTAACTCTACACTACAAGTTCACCCCTAAACCATATCACCCAACACCACATCATAGTAGTATAAACAGTTAAAATAGACGCATACATCAGTATCGCTTCAGCAAAGCAAAACAAAATGAATATGAAAAGATCAAGCACACTAGGAAAAAAAATCAGTGTGACATTGAAATAGCCATTAAAACATGGAGAAAGTGCTAAAGCTTTAAGGCTGCTGTACTCAATTAGACTGAGAAAGCTTCCCCTGCATCAAAGGATGAAAATGCACCCAGTGCACTAGGGCTGCTAAAAGCGCCGAAGGGAGAAAGGATGGATGAAGCATTAAACTGATATTCAAAGAATCTGGCTCTAATTCTTGGCTTCTTTGTCGATGTCCTCAGTAAATTAAGGCAAATCTTAAGTTTTCTGTACTTCACTTCTCCATCCATATCACAGATAGGTCACTTCTCACTCCCCTACTTTACTTTTCTCTTCTGCAGATGCACTGTTCCTTTTCCTCCTTGGAATACCTAACATAAGGTGATCTCAGTCTCATCAGAAGTACAATGATATCTGAACAAACCAACATGTAAGAAGAAAAGTGGGACACGGCCTGTCAGCATCTGTCAATCTTGCAGAAGCCTACTAACCTGATAATATTTGAAATTGCATTAATTTTGCAGTTTCAAGCCCTGGAACTCCATTTCTGTGATTTCCTTAGTGTTATATTAAAAAACAAAGGCTAGCCACAGAAACATGGCAAAAAATTTGCATATAAAGTGTTTATATGTAATCATTTGACATTTTATCATCATCCATTTGCAGTTGTTGGGATCATTGTCAAACTAGATTCCTTATCTGAAAGGTTAGGTATATCTCAGTGACTAAAGGCCAAGTTAAAGAACAGGTATCTTAGTACAAACTCATGGAAACGTGGCACTAGGGTTGGTTAAAGATCTAGGCAGACATATAGAAGACAGGAAAGATCATCTCTGGAACTTCACATTTATTTACAAAACTTTTTTTAAAAAAACAAAATAAAATGGATTAACATAGTCTTTGATTGTATTCTCTCCAGCAAGCCAAACTATGTTTGAAAACAAAATATAATATAAACAGAATATCTCTTCTGACATATCCTTCTAGCTTTTAAGCAAAGTGCTTTTTTCTTCTCACTAAACACCTATCTATAATCTAACTCTGACTAGAGGAATATTAATTTGATTAGTTCATTACCCAGGAGATGCTTCCATTTTCCTTTTGCTGTTCTTGATCACTGAAACAACTGCACTAGCTTATTTCAAAATATCCACCACATACTGAAAATACAGCTCCTCAGCAAAGAACTTCTTAAGGTAAAATCTAACGTATTTTTAGCATTCTCCTTACACCTACTGAAACACTTTCTCTCATGGATAACAAATGATAAATTGCAAGCCCCTCTCTCAATAAGCAATAACACATAATAAGCAATAATATACTCTTGAGGTCACTCAGCTTCCCAAAGCTTAGAGCACTTACAAAATTATTGAGCTTTCTGACCTTTTTGTTCATAGTGAGCAAATAAGCAAATAGCATTTTTTATTGTCGTGATCTTTTCTTAAATGTAGCATTTTGGTACATTTATGCTATAAATTACAGTAAAATGTTTTAATTCTCTTTCATTCTGCCCAGCTTTTAGATCACACCATACAGAAATTTCTACAGTCACAGGACAGTTAGCAAATTTTGCCCTTATCTTGACTCTGGCAGTGGTTAATAGCAACTATTACAGAGCACAAACTGCTGTAGACAGTTACAGAATAACTCATTCAGAGAAAATTGCCTTTTTAACATGAGTTGATAGTGGTCAGCTTATGCCACAAAAGCATAGGCACTTGTATGCTCCTTAAAATGTACAGCATCTCTGGATGTTCATACCATATATCTGACTCTTAAATCCCAATACAACCTATATAAAAAATATTAAAGATTTGATAATATTAATATTTAATGAATATGAAGTACATTTGTGGAGGATAAAAGAGGCTAATTATTTTGAATCTGTGAATGTTTTTGACAAAACAAAGAAATAAACAAAAAAAACACCCTGACCTACCGTAAGTGCTGCATTTTTGTCTCTGAAACCATTGGGAAAAAAGGTGGTTTTAAATTGATGCACATCATCTACAATATCATCAAGGCTTCCAGAAACAAACTGCTGAAGGTATCTTCCATAGCACTGTAGAAGTGCCAGCTTATACTCCTGAAGAACAAATAATATGTTCTTTTTATAGTTTGCATATTACATTCCTATATCTATACAACATGTTATTTTTTATTATCTTTACATAAATAGTATCAGTATGAAAGAGCAGCTGGAAGTAAAACACCAAAGTTTCATATGAACATTCAATAATGTAATTTTCTGTTTATGTTAGTCATAAATATGACATATCAGAGAACAATTGTAAAGTATGATCCTGGACTAATGTACAAAACTCAAAGGGTTACTGGAATGACCTGTAGCTTCACAACAGTAATGATAATGATACTACACTTCTGAGAAAAGTACTTCATTATGTAGAACTTTATAAACAATATACAGACATCCTTACTTCTCCCTCCTCTGGTACCTTGACGTCAAAGCCTTTTGTAAGAGAAAGAGGAAGAATACGATAAAAAGAAGGAAGCAAGTAAAAACCATAATTTACATACGGCCAAAAAGTCAGCATTAATAGGTAAGAAATTGATCCTGGGTCTTTAAGAACCATTAAGAAACAGGATGTTGAGCTTTACATCTCATTCAAAATAGAGCTCCCCAGCAGCATGCTGAACCACTTGAACATCATGATGAGACTATGGTTCAGCTCTGACTCAGATGTGGAAGTGCCATTTACTGAATCACCTCCACCACTTCCTGCAGCAATTATTTAGAGGTTTCTCTACCAACTTCACTAATTAATTCAAGCACACACGCACACACCATGATACACTCTGCGGAAAAAAGCTACCAATTTATTTTTGTAAATATTATCCTTTAATTTTTAATCACAAAAAAATTCAAAAGTATTGCTTTGCACTTGGTTTTTTCAATATGAATTTCTACCACTGTAACGCTCACCCTAAATTTTTAATCGTCTGAGAAGTCCTATTTGCACGGCCCTACCTTCTTCTTTGCTGTGTGAAGCCACACACAGAAACTTTTACTTTCCATGGACAGTTATGGGCCGTTGGGCACTTGTGTAATCTAATATATAGATTCAGGATGTAATAACTCTTAGAATCCAAAGTCATGGATCAGAATATCATTAAGCTAATTACTGACAGATAACAAAAAAGTAATTTCTCTCCCAAACAATTTAAAATACATGTATATGACCAAAGATAACATGCGGATACAGGCAGAGAGGGAGGGGTTAAAAATGAGTCAGTACTGATCAGTATGATGACTAAGGGGCTAACTAATTTCCAGATATAATGAATTTAGGTGTGTCCTAAAATATACATGGCAGATGTATAATAGGAAGGGATCTAAAGTAAGAAGGCATTAAAAAATAGCACGAGGACATAAAGTTAAGTTAAAGTTAAGTTAAAAAGTTAACATAAAATTAAGTTAAATACTTACAAAAAGAGGCTTTACCCCATCTACCACAGAACTTGGCATTACACCATACTGACTTTTCCAGTAATGCATGAATTTGTAGCTAGCATTCATCTCATGCTTTTTCTTTTTTTTTTCCCTCCATGGAAGAAAATGGACTGAATGAAAACTAAGTTTGTAAAGTCAAAGAAATGCACTTAAAAATGTGAGATGCAAAGAGAGTTCATTTTAAAGTTTTAGGCTGGTCAGCAAAACAATTTTTTCAATTACATTAGTATCTTTACTGTAGAAAATCACACTACACTACAGGACTGAAGTTGCAAGCAAAAGACAATTATCTTTAGGCAATCTAGGGCCATGTCATTAAGCACCTTCAACGTAAGGGCCAAATTACTGCATTCGAGTTGTGCTATGGGAAGTGAAGGTAAAGTAGAGAAAGCAGCATTTGATGCGTTTGAAATAACCTGACTGAGTACAATGTGAAAGCAGCAGTTCACAAGCACCAAAAGCTTCATGTAATACTCCAAGCAAATCCTAGGGCCCAGAAGCTATGGGAACTTGAGGAAAATGTGAACATGAAAAAAACATGAATGGAATTGCCTAGGCAATGAAGTGGCTATTAACAAATGCAGTTATTCAAGCTTTCTTAGGAATTTCTGTGAGCATTTCTAAAGCTACACCATGAGCCTATACATTCAATTATATAAAAATAACAACTCCAATAATAACTTCTACAGATTCTTTTATATGCCTTTTTCAACCTACCAGTGAGTGTTAAGTGCTGCTGAAGTTCAGCTTCAGCTTGCTGTTCTTTATCCAGCAGGCAGGCCACTTTAGCAGAATTCTTTATGGCAGAAGCAGTAAAGGATATATATGACTTCCTAACATCTGCACGATACTCATACCTTTGCTATGGTCTGCAGAAAAGCTCACCTATTAAGCACATACATATGCTTTCCATAAATACCATAAATAGTATTTACCCTTTCTGGATTCATTAAGCGAAGGACATAATAACAGAAGAGCAATTTCATTGGATGTGTTCTCCAAAATACTCTCAAAGTCTTCCACAATTCAGCTCCTGAATCTTTCTAAGTTGTGGTTTAACTTTTTTAAGGAGACCAGAAGTGCACACAGAATTCGAGATGCAGGAGCATCATCGATACATGTAGTAACATACTATGTAATTGCACTCTGTTTTTTTCTTCTGTGTTCCATTCCCAACAATTCTTTACCGTCACCTTTGGTTAAATGAGCGCTGAATTGAATTTCAGTAGAACACACCACCACTGCTCTATCATTGTTAATCTGTACTTCAGCAGCATCTATAGGCACAGTCAGATATTGTACTCTACCATGCTGAAACATCAAACAAATATTAGAGAAAGACTTTGGCATGTTTAAAAAGGCAATAAGTGAACAGAAAATGCAGATATAGAAAATATATCAAAACCAGAGCAATTTTACAATAATAAACAAGAGATACAAACCACCAACTCTCACTGGAATTATTTTGTAAAAGTTTTGCTACTTTCTAAATTGCTTCCAGTAAAATACGATTAAAAATTAAAGTAGCATAGAAATAGAATGAAACAAAAACTGTGACTGAGCCTTTCCTGTTTTCATATGACTTACTTTGATCTGAGCAAGGGAATCACCAATTTTCAGAAGTTTTTCATTGTAATACCACTCTGGCAGTCGAGGCTTATATTTGATCCAAATATTAAACAAAGCATTTGCCCTAAAAAAGTTACAGCAGAAAATGTTTCAGATTAAACTGGCAGTAGACCTGTCATAACAAGTAAACAAATGAGCAAAACTTCAAATTGTAAAAACTGCTTTCTTCCAAACCTATCTGAACATCTAAATATTTCAAAACAAGGTATCATTAGAACTGAATTTAACAGGCAGCCACGGACATTTCTGGGTTTCTCTTCTATCCCCAGTTTTTATCACACATTTAAAATAGGATGATTTTTCTCCTGTGTAAATCCTTATTACAATGCACTGGTGTTAATTCTCTTGCGTTGTTCAAACACGGTCACAAGTGGAAAATCTCTCCACCTCTCAGATAGTATTTGAGAGGTTCTCTTGGAAGAAACAATGTGATATTTAAAAAAAACCTCAATGAATTACAGCTCACAGCGATTATTGGACTGGAAACTACAAACGCTAAGAGCAGGAAAAAAGATCCCACAAGAACAGTATGTGTCAGGTAGAAATAAACTTAGGAACTGGTGGCCATGGAATAAACCACAGAGCTAGAGAGTATATAGAGCTATGGTATATAGAGCTATGGAGCTCATGGTATATAGAGCTATACCATGACTCACAAAAGAAGAAAGTTATTAGAAAGCCTCTAGCATGAACTGCATTTGACATGAAATATTCGGGATTTTTAAACGATGAAGGGTAGGATTCACAGAGAAGCAAATGACACATTTGTTAAAATAGAAAGGACTTTATGGCAATAGCTGCAATGCTCTTCTGTTGCCTCTACATGTTATTCTACCCACAGTTGTCATCAAGGATAACTTTGTGTAACAAATTACTTATTTGGCTGGACCAGTGAGCCAGTAACTGGCTCTAAGCAGTTTGCCTCCTCCACAGAGGAACTGTCTACATCACGCCAGTATTATAATCCCTACTGAGTGCTGTTTGATGTGCTGAGTGCCTTCATCTGTACAACTTTCCCACCCTCAACTCCCTCTAGCAAGTCATATTCAAACTGGGAAACAATAATTGATCAGACACACTGATAATAAGCACAGGGATTTTTCAGAAAAGAATCCTGTTAGTAAATTATTAATAGTATTGACAGTGCTCACAGTGCCAGGCATCTCTTACAGTTTTTCTCTTAACAAATCACTTGTACAGAAACCTCAGCAAAGAGTGCCTTGTGAAACCCCAACAGCTAAATTATTCATAGGCAGCAATTTATGAGGAAGCAAAACAACCATTAATGTTTGAAAATCACCTTCTAGATGAATTTTCACATGTAAATGTTATGCTTACTGGTGTGAGATAGCTGGAACATTTCAATCTCTTAAGACGGTGATGGTAGACTAGAATACAAGACACTTTCTTAAACTGTTTTCTGGCATTCAGGAACTTGGAATCCATTCTCACAGTCTTCCAGAAAGCCATAAGAAGGTTCCCAATAAAAAAAAACCACAACAAGTAACATCATTTTTCCACACAAAAAGCTGTCAGCCACCTTCACATTTCAAGGTGAAACAGACGGCTGCATGAAAAATCTGTCAAAATGATCTTTACACCAAAAAATTACAACAGTCATAATCCTTTTTTTCCCTGTAAGTATGATCTCAGCACAACTCTCAGTTCTTGAAAATAAGCAGCAAAGGAATAAGTAGGACATTCTAGAGGTGTAACCAAAAGAAAAAATGCAGTAACAGCACAAACTAGGCCAAAAGCAACAATCTGAATAAAACATTTGAAGGCATTATGTTTTCCAAGGAAACGACAGCACTTTCTAATGAAGAGCACCTTCCAAACAGAGTGGCTACAGACTTCTTATACTGAGAGAAGTATCCCAGTCCAGTTTAGTAGGGATTAACAGTCTCCAGAGTTAAGGAATCTGTCAGGCATCTGAGCAGAGTTCCCTTGGACTAACAAAGGAAAAAGTCTAGGAAGAGATTTTCAGAGTCCAAGAGGTTTGATGGATACTACTGATGGGGGAGGAAGAAAAAAGGAGGAAATAAATAAAAAACAAATGAACAAAACAAAACAACAACAACCACAAAAACCATAACAATAATAAACGAAAAACCCACAGTAATTATCAGGTTGTAAGCCTGTAAAGTAACTGACAGTGAGAATGACTGTAGATAAAGCTCTGGAAGATGAGACTAATAAACTTCTTTAAGACCGATCAGCTGGACAGTCCCCAGTGAAGGTCATCCTCCTTTTTTTTTTATTGAATGCTTATATTAACACATGGGAGTCTTAGATGTAATAAACAAGTTAAAAGCCAGTTTTGTAGAGTAGTGTCAACTGTAACTAGACTTTCAGCTTCAATAGTAAGATTAAGGTAAACTGTATCTGCTAGAATGCCATGACTAACTGCAAGTGAGTTCATGACACAGGAATGTTTCTTTGACACAGACAAAAGAGGAGAGTGAGACACTTCCCAAACAGCTCATCAGCCTTTCCTTTAAACAGGCTGCAGGACACCAGACTAACAAGTTAAGCAACTGAGTTCTTAAAAAAATACTGGGCTGTTGGAGCTCAGAGGTGAAGCTTCTTTCCGTCTAATCATTCTATGAATAATAAAAAAAAAATCCCTAAGGTCAACGCCCAATAGTGTGTGCAGCGTAAGACCCACGTGGCCATACTTCTGGGCCAGAAATCTTTACTACATGTAGTAAATGAAGAGTGACTAAGGCACACAACACGAGATAAAATCAAGTTCAAAGTAATCCTTTGATAGCTCCATTACCAAGAGAAATGGGGTAAAACAACTTCTTGTTTAGTTGAGGGGAAAATACTTTTGATTGCTACTTCTGATTGAAAAGATTCATAATTCCAGTACAGAGCAGGTCCTCAGTAATTTTTGTTTCTTACATTAGAACACTGTAAGTGCTTAAATTATGGTCTTACTGTTGACTTATCAACACCAAAGGCTGACAGCACTGGAAGAATGAAGCTGACAATTTTATTTTTCTAAACTGAACATACTTGCCATGTGGAAGCTAGTTTTCTTGCTCCTCAAAGTACAAGAATACTTTGATCTCAACCCATGCCAGGAAAAGTAGTCTGACAAATGACACAGCAAGAAGTCTTTAGAGCATTTGGAAAAGCATCTGCAATAGCCATTACCTTCAAAATTCTTAAGAACAAGTAGTCTAGAGCTGGTTCTGCAAGCTACATATGCTCATATTTTGAGTTATAAAACAATGTGACCCAAAGGAGAAACAATCCTGAAATTTCACAATCACAAATAAATACTTGTGACTTTGCTACCTTCTTGAACATATGCTAATAACCAAAATACTGGGAGCTTTATGTTACACAATGCTCTCAATGTCCTGGAATTTTGGTATGGATCATCACTACCAGTGAGTTCTGGGATCAAGATCCAGGAAGCACTAGCTCTCATCTCCAGGATGAACACTGCAAAATTCTTTGGATGAGAAAACGTTCTCATGCCAACTGAGTTATGTGTGGACATGGGCCACTACATCTACAAAATACCAGTTTAAGTAAGACAGAGCCTACTCGGGTCAAAATATTACAGAGGATAAAGTTAAAGAAAGGCTTTGAGATACCGTTCACTAAAAATGGTAACTTGGCATAACATTGCAAACAGATCAGATTCAGCATACCCAATTCCCACTCAGAAGATACAACAAGTGTGTAGAATATATAATGAATGTATCCATTATTAGCAGTTTTAGTGCTGTCTGAAGCAGCTAAGTGGTGGTTCTTCTAAAGGGCCTAGAGGGGATAACTTTCAAAGTAGGAATACAGGCCAGCTAGAGTGAAAAAAGGTCTGAAGTGACAGAATGGTTTAGAAATAACAAAGCACTGAAAACAGCTGCTGAAGCAGTATAAACAGGCAACCTACTGAGATTAAAAACACTAGAGGCAGAAGTCTGGGGACTGGTATCTGCATCTAGGCCTAGACCTGATGATGAACATGTCACATAAACAAATTAGAAATCCAGATAGCTTAGAAAAGCAAAGATCTCCAAACATAAGGCTGCAGAATCTCAGAACCTCCTGAAAATGCTCCTTTAGAAAAGGGTCATTTATGGACTACATCTAGGAAACTACTGAGTAAAATATATAAAGGTAGAAAATGCATGTAAGTGATAAGCTAACCACCCTGTAATCTAACTCCTGTGCTGCTTTTGAATGAAATTTTGATGAAAACTTCCATTTTTTATGTTAAAGACACACAAATTCAGAGTAGAACACTGTTCAGATAATAACAATAGGAAAAATATTTACCTTAAAAGAAGCAGTTGGACTCATATCTACCTAAATGTAGTAGGGAGAGCTACATAAGAAATGCACAGTCTACAACTGACATATGCATGCACTATGAATCATACACCAATTCCAGTTGCTCCATCTTAACTGCATTACAAAGTCTAGATTTACTCATACTCATAGACATGCATGTATGCGAGCAAACAAATATGCACAATTATACTTGCCATATGCTTGGCCTGCATCTATGTGTATAAAAATATATCAACGTAGACCCAGACATATGTGCAAAAAGAACTGTGTGGTTGTATCCTCATGTAACCTGACTGCAAATGCATCTTTTAAAGGCATGTACACGCCCAAAAGTATTCACCCTCACACACAGCAGCAACATGCTGGTGGGCTGCCAGTTGCTCTAGCACAGTGAAGGGATTTTCCTACAAGAAAGTTCAGGCAGCTCTGATACAGCCAACAGTGGTGCTGCCAACTTCCACAACATCTTGTGCTTTTCCCCTAAAGTATTAACTTCTAGGAACTACTTAAAAAAAGTGGTGTTCAGATTTTCATAGAATCACAGAATGACAGAATGCATTGAGCTGGAAAAGACCTCTAAGGGTCATCTAGTCCAATCCTGCAGTGAGCAGGGACATCGCTAACTAGATCAGGCTGCTCAGAGCCCCATAAAGTCTGACTTTGAACTCCTTCAGGGATGGGGCTTCCATCATCTCTCTGGGCAATGTGCTCCAGTGTCTCACCACCCTCATAGTAAAGAACTTCTTCCTAATGTCTCATCTAAATCTACTCTGCTTGAGACTACTACCCCTCACACCCTTGTAAGCAGTCCCTCCTCAGCTTTCCTGCAGGACCCCTTCAGGTACTGGAAAGCCACTATAAGGTCTCTCTGGAGCCTTCCCCTCTTCAGGCTGAACAACACCAACTCTCTCAGACTGTCTTCACCGGAGAGGTGCTCCAGTGGGCCCTCCTCTGGACTGGCTCCAATAGGACCATGTCCTCCTTGTGCTGAGGGCTCCAGAGCTGGACACATCACCTCAGGTGAGGTCTCACCAGAGCAGAGCAGAGGGGTAGAATCACCTCTCTCAGGCTGCTGGCTGTGCTTCTTTTGATGCAGCCCAGGATATGATTGGGCTTCTGGGCTATGAGTGCGCGTTGTTGGCTCATGTCCACCAGTACCCCCAAGTCCTTTTCCGCAGGGCTGCTCTCTATCACATCATCCCCCAACCTGTACGGATAATGCAGATTGCCCTGAGCCAGGTGGAAGACCTTGCACTTAGCCTTGCTGAACCTCATAAGGTTCACACAGGCCCACTTCTCTAGCTTATCCGGGTCCCTCCGGATGGCATCCCATCCCTCTGGCACATCAATTGTACCACGCAGCTTGGCATCATCTGCAAACTTTCCGAGGAGGGGTTTTAATAATATTTTTAAAAAGGAAAACGGATTGCCAGTGTTTTGGAGGACTGATGGAGAAGCCAGCCTGGGTGAACAACCTCCTGGTTAGCTCCCAGGCCGGGGGAGT